TTGTTGTATGTGTATTTCTGTATAGTGCGTGTCATTTAACAGGAATTTACCGAGTACTTTAGTTGTACTCGCACGGACAGGGTTTAAGCGCGCCTTTTTTTAAAGCAAGAAATTAACGACGCCAGATGGTGATTGTAGTGTTTTCTGAGGTATTAGCATAACGTTAACGTTAGTTCCTGAAAAAAGAAAGGGAATTTTCTTTAATTAACTTCTTGTTAACTGCATTTTCTGTTTCAGTACAAGACTGAAGTAAAGGTGAAATGACTATAACGTTAAGGTAAGCTCTGACCTTCTCTTAAGTTAACGTTACGGTTAGTCACCATCATGTACGTTAATTTTGTTCACTGTAACGTTAACGTTAAGTTAGTTAAATAAACTAAACTCATTATGAAACAAGTCTTAACTGTTTTATTAAATGAGGCTTATAATACAATTCAGTTGTATTCTTTTAAACTAACACTAACACAGTACATATTGTATATTTCTCACTGGTGTTAATGCAGTGCTAACATTTACTAATGAGAACTAATTGTATATTGTCACTAACTGTAGATTTTATTTTTTGGTGTTCAGGTGTACCTGATAATAGCTAAAGTGTGAGGTGAGTGTAAATTCTGAGCACACAAATATAACCTAAATTCATTATCACAATCTAAACCTATATATATATATAGAGTGTGTGCGTGTGTTAGGTTGAGTCTTATTCTACTCTTATTATATTCAAATTTTTTTGCAGCTACAGCCACTGATGTTGAAACACTGATGCTACCAATCAACCCTCGCTTGATTATTAAAGGTAATGTTGATGCCTTCCTCATTTTTATTAGATTTTTAAATGTCAGGTTTTTCACAGATTTGTTGTGAGCAGTTTCTTGTACAAACTCTTTTTCTTCTTCCAGAAGTTCCACCAGTACCTCCAGTAGTAGTAAATATTAGACAAAGATTTTTTTAAACTATAGTTTTTATTTTTATTAGCAATTTTACTGGGCATGTGTGTTTGTTTGCTTGGTTTTTAATAGGCAGAGCATGGAATGTCAACTTTGTTTCTACAAAAAAATTTAATTATTCACAAACACCTCTAATTTAGTCCTTCTTTCCCCCTTTTAGTCTTATTCCTTGGAGGGTCGAGTGGTCATGGGACCTCACCTGGATTTCACAACTGACTTTGAATCTGGTCTGAAACTGAAGTATACTGAAGTTGCCTTTTGCACTCTGGAATTTAAGGTAATGTCTACAATAAATATTGTAACTGAGGGCTTGTTTTGGGGGGGTTAAACAAGGAATGTATAGGAGCACAAGTCATGACTCCCCTTGTCCCCTTGTTATAAAGGGCCGTGTTGCAGACACAAATTGTTTGTCTGTGCTGGAGACCAGAGGGGAAGCTGTCTTTAAAAGGATGGGGCTCTTATACCATATGTGAAGTTACCTATTCAGGTGAGTGGATTACATACAAGTCATTGCAAATGCATAAATAGTGGGAAATTTTTACTGGGAAGCACAAATTAAGTGAAACTCAAAAAACGTTGAAAAATATTTGGAATATTTGCAAAAAACTTGATTGAAATGAATACAACACAAGTGCTGTATCACTTCAATCAAATTTTTTGCAAAATTTTCCTAATATTTAAATCATAAAAAATTAGCTTGATGCAAGAAACATCCTGCTAGTATTCAAGAGCAAACGCTGTGATGCATGTGTTAACTTTGCAATAAGTGTGAACCCAGCATTAGATTATAGTCTGTAAACAGAAGATGTAAATCAAATCAACTGTTTTAAAATGCTCTGCCTAGGTCATTAAAACCACTATTTGTTGTTGGACTGTTCTTGATTGTGTGTTTGTGATGGAAATGTTTTTCAGATGTTTTTGTTTAAATGATTGCAGTTCGACTGAGCTACAGTATTGTCAGCATGTTCAAACTGAGCTAACAGTAATTTTGCTCTGTAGTGCAGCAGTAGTGTCCCAGTAGTGTTGTATGAAGCTAACTGTTTGTCTGCCCTTTTGCTTATAGGTGCTTTTTGGGCACCAGTTTGGAGATGGGAGACAGACGAAGTCAAAGAAGCAGAGAAGACACATCAACCAGCAAGTGTGTAAAATTATCAGGAAAATGATTGACCTTGAATAGACGACTGCCTAATTTAGCAAGAAGTTTTGTCTCTCTCTCTCTCATGTGTATATATATATATATATATATATATATATATATATATATATATATATATATATATATATATATATATATATATATATATATAATGAGAGACAGAGAGAGCGCACTCTGAAGCACTGCTTTTTATATGTATGCTACATATGATGTCAGATTTTTTTATGAATATGTTCTTATAGTATTTTTTGAGGCTTCACCTTCACGTTTTGAAAGTTTTCTGAAATGTTTACACAGATGTCATTAAGCTGTTAAATAAATCTGTAAAATGTATGTGTGTTTGTTTTTATTTTGATTTTAGAGTCTTCTCAGATCACCCAAAAATGAAGATTCGGTCGTCATTTACGCATCCTCAGGTTGTTTGGACACAAAGAGGATTATTTGATATTTTTATTCCTGTGTTTAACAAAAAAACATTTTTAACAGAGCTGGAACAACCTGAGGGTGAGTAAATCAAGATAGAATGTTCATTTTTGTTTGACCTAAAATTGCTTTGAAATTTTACAGCACCAAACTGTTAAATTACAGTAATCCGGGATATAATTGTAACTTTACAGTTAAATCAGGTATTTAAACTGCAACCTACTGCTAAATCACAGTAATCGTTTTGCAAATTCACAGTAAAATATAGTTAATTCTACAAGATAATACTGTGAAATCACAGTAACAGACTTTATTATCTACTGTAAAGTTACAATATATGGTTGTAATTTCACAATAATTTAATGTGACAAAACCACAGTAAATTACTGTGAACTACCTCACAATAATTTACTGTGAATTTACATACAGTAATTTACTGTGAAAGTAATGCAATTATTAGCCAGTAATTTACTGTGAATTTAAGGTCAAATTTTTTACAGTGTTTAATATATTTAACCGGATAACATATTCATTCACATCTTACAAACATCATCTTCTTATGATCGTATGATTAAGCCCCTTTTCATCAATAAAAAAATAAATCCCCTTATATCTCATACCCCAAATACATTAATTAGGGCTGAGAAGTGACGTCACGTGACGTATGACGTCAAGTTTTACTGACTTTAATTTACTGACATAATTTGCGTAATGTTTCATGTTTACAAAGTCATATAACAGCCACAAAACAACATTTATAGCGGAGATTTAGCCTAGATATATTTTCCTTCCGCGAATACAATTGCCTGACAATCCAAAGGTCGTCTCTAAAAATAGATTCTTACACAAACAAACAGAAAAATGTCATCACATAATTTAGCCATATATTGATTGCATTTATTCAATACGTTTAAATGACTGTTAAAACATTTTTCTAGACAAAATATTAAATGTTTTATAATGGGCCGAAGTTACTAGCACAGACACTTTTTAGAACGTCATATTAAAGTGTTTATCATGTTGTAACAAGAAAAAAGTTCGTTCAGAATTATTCTAAATCTAAAGTTCGTTCAGATTTATTAAAAGCTCAGTAACTGTTACGCATACATTATTGTATTTTATATAGCATAGGCTGTATACGCGAAATGTCCTATGACAGCTAAGCTAGTGGTAGCTAAGTAGCTGGCTAGCAAGCTTTAGCGTGTCTTAGCCGTAAGGCTAAACAATAACAAACCAAGATGGCAGTACAAATCTAAAGTATTGACTTTAACTATTTAATCAGAATTCAGTAATTTCACATCCAAGTATATTTTAATGTTGGTTTTCGTATTAAAATGAACCAGTTAACATCCTGAGTCAAGTCAATGTCTGAGGCCGATAGTTAAAGGAATAATCCATATCATGCTCTCCCGACCAGCTGTATTTCACCAAAACACAACAGAAAATTCGACTACAAGTTAGTCAAATAAATAATTAAGTCATAATAGATGTGGAAAACTTATATTCTAACAAACACAAGTAAAGTATTAAAACAGATGGTACCATACCTCATTTTCATGCTGAAGTATCACAAAAACCCCAGCGCTGTTTTGACGCACTTTCCAGTCTCAGCGCAAGTACATCCCCCTGTCCGTGTCAGTGGTTTCCCGGAACAACACAATAACAACACAGCACACACATCACATCCTCAACAAGATTTCATCTTTACGTAGCTCACCAGGATATGAAACTAATATGAAGAAAAATTGGGTGTTTAGGGTTTCTATTTGGTAATCTGTAATCACTTTACGTTTATTTTTTTAAAAGCGTTTATGTTTATTGGGTAAATAAGGATAACGTTTAATTAAATAGATATAATAAATTGAGTATTTAATCAGCCCACAAATATGTAATTTCATATTTATGCAAATATTACCCTTTAACCAACAAAACAACATTTATTGAATTCTATAGTCATAACTTATGTTTGTCTGATAATAAAAAAGTCACTAATACAATTATCATTGACACACGTATTATAAATGTGATTTAATGTAATAGATTAATGTGCAGTTATTGGTTAACATGATTGTCAACGTGTGATAGGCCCATAGCCTCGGCTACTATAGGCTAAGCTCTAATATAACATATGTAGGTTATTTTAGAGTTCAATAAAATTCCACGAGAGAAACGTCCCAAAGTTTAGTGGAAAATGTTTCAGAGTGGTTCTCTGTCGCTTTGTAGACTTTTTGCCGAAATAAACCAGTAGATCATTTTTTTATTAAAGATAAATTTAACTATATATATATATATATATATATATATACTTTAAGTAATTAAATAGCAGACAACTAAATACAACAGCAAGTTTCTTCAGCTTCTCCCATGTTCGTCAATCCATTATCAGATTTTGCGGATGTCCCGCCTTCCTTTGAATACTATTGGCTGAATTGTTCCAAGCTGAATAAAACCCATGGAGGACACAAGTGTCAATCATCGATTAACCAATGGCGTCACTGTAAGTCGAAGGTCAAGACCGAAGCAGCATGGCCGCTCTGTTAAGGGTCTCGCGGTGTCTGGTAGGAAAGTGTAACAACCATGTCAACGCCGTGCAGGGTAATGTGTTATCTTATAACGTTATGCTTATATCTGCTACTGTGCATTTTCCTAAATATTTTCAACGCGGCAACCATGTAATAGGATGCAATACACCGGCAGAGCTCGAAAATAGCTATAAGGCTAAAGTCACGGGCTCGTGTCAGTCACTGAATAACAAGTAACGTTTGACAGTTATAGCTAAAGTTTTTGTTCTTACACATTTATTCACCATTGAACTAAATGATAGAGATTTGTAAAGTTTTCCGATATATTTAGGAATTAAATAAAATAGGTGCATAGGAAATTGTAAAGGGACAAAGCATTACTGCGAGATTTTAGTATTAAATGATCTTTTGACTGATAATTGCTTTATGCGTCTTTTGTGATTTTGGCTTTCATGGATTAATTTTTTATTTGTTTTACTAAATTTAAATTAAACAACTTTTAAATATCCAATCAGGTGTATATGCACATATCTGCCTCTAGGTCACAAAAACCTTTTCAGAATCTAATCTCAGACTTATCACATGCTATTTTAATATTTGATGCAACTGTATTTTAGTCCGTTTATTTACATTATTATTTATGTGTTTAATCATTTAAAGTCGTGTAAAAGTTGTATTATCCAGTTTTTTATGGAACGTTTATGATCAGCTCCCATTTTCTCATTTCTGTTTCAATGTTTAATAAATTATACTGCACATTTTAATTTAATATCTGCACATGTGCCTCAAAGCACAAACACCAAGATCAACTCTAGGACTGAGCACATCATATTTAGATTATTAATATTAGGGATTACTAATATTTAAAATATGAGGCTGTTGAGTTCTTGATTCTGATTTGACAGTGTTTTTCGACCACGTACCTGGAGGACCACCAGCTCTGCACATTTTCCATGTCTCTTTCACCAAAAACACCTGATTTAGATCATCAGCTCATAAGCAGAGACTGAAAGTACTGTAATTGGTGTGACAGACAAAGGAGACATTTAAGACATGCAGTGTTGGAAATGTGGTTGAAAAACACTGCTCTAAGGTGTGCACTGCAGTTAATTTTAGGGAAATGCACAGATAAAAACAAGATCTCAGCTGGTCATGACTACATCACAGTTCCACATCATTATAGTGTTTCACAGCCTACAACAGTCAAAAATCCATATGAAACAAATGTCTTTGAATGAGATGTTGAAGAAACTAGTACTGCACACATGAGCTTTCTTAAAGCGAAACCTTACAAATGTCTTGAAACGAAAATCTAAACAATGACTGTATTCACATGGACATCAGTAACCAAATGATTTGCCTTCATCTGAATAAGAAAATAATTTTATTAAGGTGTTTATGTGAGTTGCTTTTTTTAATGTTCCTTTTATGATCCCGTTTTACATGTTATAGCACATAATTTGAATATTGTCATTTCGTCACTGTGCTATCCACATTTCCTACAGAGTTTCGTGTAATTTTGGGTGTTTCATTTTCTAGTTTGTCAACTTTAACTGCAGTTTGGCACTTTCATTCAGGAACATTTCTTGCATGCCCTTTTGACAAATAAGATATTGGATGCGAGTATGAACCACTGGAAGAGTGTAGTTTTAATGTAATTTGATATTGCTGTATGGGAAACCTCCGCATTTCATGGTGCAGGTGTCTGTGGTCCTTCATTGATTCGGTAGAATGATGTCAAACACCTTTGTATAGACTATCCTGTTGCAAAATGCAGTCAAATTCCTATACGACGGTAGTAGTTTGATTAAGATGTTTACATGTTTGTACTGCACTTCAATGATATGACTAATTGGCATACTCCACCACATATCTTAATTCGATTGACTTTAGTCAGATTAAGGTAGTCATGAATCGCTGTTTACATGTCAGACTCCTAATCAGAGTATTGTCTTAATCAAATTAATATTAGATAACTGGTGTCCATGTAAATGTATTCACTGTCTTTAGTTGTGGTAAACATAGTACAAGAAGAGTAAGTCTGTTGAATCATTAGAAAATAATACCCACCATCACCACTTCAGGTCTATCATAGTTTACATGGTAGACTCATAATCAGAGTATTGTCTGAATCGTATTAAAATAGTTTAATTGGTGTCCTTGTAAACGTATTCACTGTCTTTAGTAGGCATGGGACGATAACTGTGTTCAAGGTATACTGCGGTTTGGAAAAGTCAAGGTTTTAAAAAAAAACATTAAAATAATGATATGCTGTTCTTAGGGTATGAGTAAAAAAAATATTTACTTTTTTGTTTTTTTTAGGACAACAGTATCTCCAGCAGAAAAGATCTCCAAAGATGCCTTTTTAAATTGTCAAACAAATGAAGACAGCAGAAGTCAATGATTCATTTGAATTATTTAGCCTGACACGTTTAGCTGCTGTTCCAAAATATTTGAAATGTTTAGCAAATATATTGTGTAATGAGAGGAAAAAGGTTTTTTTTTTACCCAGACATTTTAAAATAATATATTTTAGAGCAGTGATCTCAATTTATATCCAACGTTATCATACCATCAGAATCTTATAGTACATAGAACAAGCCGAGTAAGTCTGTTGAATTATTATAAAATAATACCCACCATCACCAAATCAGGTGTATCTTTTGTTTTTAGTAATTCAATGGTAAATTGCCAGTTATTCCTTGCATAATTTCATTTAATCAGCCATATGTGTTTAGGGGTTAGTTTATCTAAAAATTTTAGTTTACTTACCCTCAAGTGGTTCTGAACTGGTTTAAAGTTTCTTTCATCTGTTGAACACAAAATAAGTTATTTTGTAAAATGTTAGATGCCTTTAACCATTGATGACATTGACACATTTTTCTAAATATCTTCTTTTGTGTTCAACGAAAGAAAGAAACTCCAACAGGTTTGTGACACATGAATGAGTAAATTTTCAGTTTTGTGTGAACTATCCTTTTAAATGCAAATATATTCAAAGTGAACTTCTAAAATTGACACTAAATATATAATGCATGTCTCTTCTTAAGTCTCCATCAGGTCAATGGCTTCTAAAACCCAGGTGGGCTTCATTGGCCTGGGGAACATGGGCAACCCAATGGCAAAGAACCTCATAAAACATGGATATCCAGTGATCGCCACAGATGTATTTCCAGAATCTTGCAAAGAGCTGCAGGAACTCGGAGCTCAGGTCAGGATAACAGACATAAAACTTTATAACATCTGATTTGTGTTAAATACCTTGATGTACAGGCTTTGTATGATTGATTTGGTAGTTGTTTTAGTCTGACAGTGTAGAGACCTATTTTATTTCTGACTGTTCTCAGATCCTGGATAGCCCTGCAGATGTAGCAGACAAGGCAGATCGCATCATCACAATGCTTCCCTCCAACCCCAATGTTGTAGATGTGTATACCGGACCAAATGGTATTTTAAAGTAAGGAGATCTTTTCTGTATGGACTAAATATTTTTATCTTAAGCACAACCTTTTAATTAAAAGTAACTCTTGAGTTTTAAAGAAAACAAATACAAATTCAACTTGGATTCAGTTTACTCTTTGGCCACACTTTATGTGTGTGTTTTGAAAAGGGGGTAAATCAGGGGCCTGTTTCAGTAAGGAGGTTCAAACAACTCAGAGTTTAAACTTGAACTCTGAGTTGATCTACCGAGAGATTAAAAACTCAGAGTTTTCGGTTTCAGAACAGCTGATCTGAGTTGGGTCAATCAACTTCGAGTAGACCAACTCAGAGTTAAGCGCGCACACCGTGACTTTAAAAAGGCATTATCAATGGAGCGCAGACAGTACGAGTGACTATGGCAATGTCTTATAAAAGAGATCACCATTTCTTTCTCCAGCTGAACTTGATGTTCTCATGCAAAGTTATAGCAAATATGAGTGTATATATTTGAAAAGAAGCAACCATCAGTGAAGAAGAGACAGTTAGGGTGGGAAAACAGCTGCTCAAGTTAATGCCTAATTTAACTTTTTAAGTATTTAAATATTTAAGTATAATAAAATAAGTAATGTAATTTGTGACGTTTATATATTTTTTTCTAAACTTTTTTATACATTTATTAGTTTTAAATGATTTAACAGTGCACTTGTGTGTCTGCCTTTTTTATTGATCAAGTGATAGAGGTTAATATAACATTTAGAAGGTAAGCAGTACTAAAAAATAATTTTTAGAAAGAATAATAATCCCATTAATCTAGTTACAGTGCATGTCGAAGGTGAATTCAATTTAATTATTTATTAAAAAAGGATAAGCCATTCTAGTACAGTTCTTCTGTGTGTGACTAAAATGTAGGCTATATCTATGTTTCCATCCAAATATATTACATAAATTTATGTGCAAAACTGGAATATTGCATAAAAGATGCGAATAAAATTCCATCCAACGAGTCAAAGAGAAAAAAATTGTCACTTCCTGATTAAACTGGCACCAAATATCAACAGTAAAAACAGAATTTACTGTGGTAGAAGAAGCTGCGTCAATTAATTCTTTATTTAGCCTAATTAATGTACTTGCGCCTCGATGTCAGAAGACAATGCTGAAACACAATGAACACGTGGGGGCGTCTGAAGCCATGAGACGCGGAGACTCTTGACATGCACCAGACGTTCAGAGGTAATTAATAATATACACTAATACTGAAACAGTTAAGGCATTTTAGAATGACTAAAACAATATTTAAGACATGTTACAGTGTGCTCAGCCTGCTGGTTTGTCCATTTACACACATTTTCATTATCATATGATCATGATCTTTTTTTTAATGCACATACTGTAATTTGTTCAGTAAAAGTGTTTCCATCGTAGTTTATGCGCACATTTTCTATCGAATAAAAGTTTATCCTACTCAGTTATGCACGTTTTTTATGAATATTTTAAAAAGTTATGTGTATCATGACGTTTCTATCAATCGTTTTTATGCACGTATCCAAAATGAGCATTAAAATAGGTGGGTGGAAACGTAAGGCTAAGGCGAGAAATACCGCTTCATCTTTAAAAAAGGGGAGGAGACAGACAGAAACTCTGAGTTTAGAGAATAAAACCTGCTTCTGACCAGGTTAGATTCACAGAGTAAGTTACCACAGTAACTGACTCTGAGTTAAAGTTACCTCTCTTTCAGAAACAGGCTTGACTTACCCTGCTTTCTCGAGTTTAACAAACCTGCCATTTTGAAACGGAAAACCCAGAGTTTCTCTTATTTCAGGGTTAAAATTCTCTGAGTTTTCAGTTAACCTCCTTTCTGAAACAGGCCCCAGATGTTTTCAAAGACTTGATTGTGTGTGTGAGGTGCACTCACTACAGGTCATTTTCAATCACGTGGTTCTTGTGATGCAAAATTCAGATGGAGGATAGAAAGTAAAAAAAAAACTGAATGGGAGACATAGAGAAAAGTGTATTTTTACGATTTATGGATAATTCACATATGGTTGTATATTCTGCTGAAACACCAGTAAAGTCTTGGATTATTGTAAAACAAGATGGAGATTTCATTTCAGCGATTACATGGCACGGTATGTTATTTAAATTTTCTTGGATTTTGTACAAGTGTGGTGGTGTTTGTATCTGAATTTTATATAATACATTAACATATCTATACACATAACTAGGCCTGTATATCATCTTTATTAATACTGTCAAACAAATCATTACGTTCAAAAACAGGTTGTACGCATAGATGTTTTGAAAAAATGTTTATTTCATGCCACCTTTTCTTCCGTTTTCAGCCAGTTTTTTTAACCTTCCCCTTTTATGAGCAAAAACTTTTGGAAGTCTATAAAAGCTGTTCGACATTTATTATCATGGCCGATTTAAACAACTATAAACAATATAAAACAGAAATATTTTGATGTTCCGAGGCTCCTATGTAGAACAATCACTACCTGCCCTCCATCTGAATTTTCGTCACCAATGACGTCATGTGAAAACAACCTATAATATGTTCATCCTTCATTCAAAAAAATGTTTTTCTCATATTTTCCTTTTTTCTACACCACTTCTTTTTTTTCTTAAAAAAAGCCTCTTAATTGTTTCAGTGAAAGCCTCCCATAGGATAATGCATTGGGCTCTGATTGGTTAGCTGGCCTTTTGTTATCTGTCTCAATAACTGTGCATTGTCTGCAAATGGCACACCTAGGAATGGGGTTTATGTAAATTTTAGAGTTTGTGTAAAAGATAATTTTGTAAAAGAAAATATCTTTATAGATTTTGAACTTTTAGCATCATAATTTTAGATATTAACTTTTATGAAAGTAGCAGGGGCAACACAGTGGCGCAGTAGGTAGTGCTGTCGCCTCACAGCAAGAGGGTGTATGAATGTGTGTGTTTGGATGTTTCCCGAAGATGGGTTGCAGCTGGATAAGTTGGCAGTTCATTCCACTGTGGCGACCCCAGATTAATAAAGGGACTGAGCTGTCCCTTTCTCTCTCTCTCTCTCTCTCTCTCTCTCTCTCTCTATATATATATATATATATATATATATATATATATATATATATATATATATATATATATAAATAAATAAAATGGAAAAAGAAGCTCAGATCTGTATGTTTACCAAGGAGACATTTGTGTGTGTAAGTTAAATGGGTTTAACAAAGCATGAATTGACCACTGTAAATGGGTCTATGCAAACTTTAGATCAGGTCCAATTCACTTCCTGTAGTGCCACAGTTCTGCAAAGTTAAGAGGACTTTTACCCAAAAATATTTTCAAATAAAAGAGTTTTGTGCCTTCTGGTCTTATTTTACGTCTTGAAAACGATACTGTCAGTTTCTTGTAAAGTAGAAAAAAACATGATTGTGTTATGCATCTTAATCAGTGTTGGTTACTAGTTACATCTCGCAAATAGTAACGGAGTTACATTTTTTTACTTTAATTATTAAAGTAATTGCCAGAGGACGTAACTATTGCGTTACTTAACAATAATAATAATAATAATAACTAATTGGCAAAAGATGGAAATGTACTCTAAGTCAATCATCACATTCTCAGACACATCCAATCATCAACACTGGTTAGCCCCAAACACACACACTCACCCCGGACAAAGAGAGTAATTTATGGCTGAGAGAGGCGCTGCTCGCATGAAAACCGCTTCAGTGTTTTTAATAATAGTAATGTGCATTTTTTTAATTATTATTTTTTTTTACTGTCAGTAATGGTAACAGCGTTGTAACGATGAAAACAGTAATTTAATTGATTGTTACTGAAAAAAGTATCCCCATTAATAACACTGTTTATTTATAACGCCGTTATTCCCATCATGATGCATTGATCATGCAACAGCAGCAAGTTTATAGCTATTCACAAATCAAAACAACAGTTGTGGGCCTGATTTCCAAAGCCAGTTTGAGTTTTTATCCAGGTAAACTCACGTTTAGTTTAAGCAAACTCTTGATTTTTTTTTTTTTTTTTTTTGTCTCAAGACAGAGGTTGGGTATAGATCTGGTTTCATCACCTTGGTAGCTTACACTAACGATTTATTCTGAGTTACAGATGACAAATTCTAACTAGACCAATCAACTGCTAATAAAGTGACATATGTTACAACAAAGCCACTACCAGTTCTTGTCCTCCTTTTTTGCTCTAAACAAGGGTCTAGCTGCAGACTGGGTTGGCATGCACGCATTTCATGTGTACATTTAACTCCTCACAGTGTCTGAGACTGCATATCTCGGATTGAAAAACATGTTTGAGACCATTTTCTAATATACGAATTGATTTTTCATACATTAATATATTTATTAATTTTGTTTGAATTTAATAATAGCAATATCTTATCTTTAAATTCATGTTTACATTTAAATATTTATAGATACATGTTTTTTAATATATAATCTATTTAAATTACTTTAAGCTGTCTGTTTGTGGATCTACATTATAAAAGTCAGTTAATTGATTTACATTGATATAACAAGATTTGATATAAGTTGCTTTCTCAAGCTTTTGCTGCACAAGCACTGTTTATTTCAACCTTGTAAATGTAATTAAATTCAGTATATTGTTGACATTTTCATCATCTTCAACAGAGATTTGCACTGATTCTCTATTGAGAAATTAAACTGATTTTAAAAAATCATATTTAATGTGTTTTGCTGTTTGCCGCATGTGTCAGAGTTGATCAAACTTTGAGTTTAGAGACCCTTTATATTAAGTGTTGTTGAAACCTCATAACCAGTTTGAAGTTTGTTCAACATGTTTTGTGCAACAGGGGTCAGAACTATCACAGATACAAAGTGTTTTTTAAAGGTCCCATAAAATTAAAATTAAGTTGTTGAGCTCAAGTGTGTAATAAACACTACTGGCTGATTTTTTAAAGAGGAGGAGCTACTCCGTCCCACCCTCTCCTTGTTTAGGTTGAGATTACATCAAACATTAAATAAAAATGCATATTTCAAAGAACTTCATGAGACCTTTATTTTAGTTGTTCTTGGTTGTCCTTAGATCTTTGTCATTCGGTTGTTTTTGTTAATATTTGAAATGAAAGAAAAATGTCCTCTATTTCAACTCTGCTTCAACAAACAAAGCAAATTTTAGCTGGATCAAGTGTGTTGAATTAAGGTTTAAGCTAAATTGGCAGAGCTGTAGCTCTCCCGGAAGCGAGTTTGTCACAGCTACTTTAGAAAATAATATCCGGATTAAATGGCATTTTAGCAGATGAAATTGTGTTAAGAGATGTCTAAAATGTAAAATATTCTGCATGTACTTTTATATTGTGATATCTTTGCTCAACAGGAAAGTGAAGAAGGGGTCTCTACTCATTGATTCCAGCACTATTGATCCAGCTGTCTCTAAAGAGATGGCAGTTGCAGCAGAGAAACTGGGTGCTGTTTTCATGGATGCCCCGGTGTCTGGAGGTGAGATGGTGAAAACGTACTCTCTGATATGATGGGTAGATGTAGACACAGTAGCTCACGTGTGACTGCACACAAATCAAACATACAAGCAAACACAATGTTACAGTTTTAGTGCCTGATTTATGCGTTCAATAACACACCCATAAATCACACACCCATAGTCTCAGCAAAACTTGTCACCACCTGGGAAGAGGTACAAATTTCTTGAAGAAGTTTTGGCTTCAGTTCAAGCATTGTGGTTTTCTCAATGATAGGTTCATGTTAATTGAGGAATTCCATTTCCATTGATTTGCATTAACATCCAAGCCTGATTGTAACAGTCTTCCTCCTTTTATTTTTTTTCTTAATGTAATGAAAACAAATTCCAAAAGTGCTACAAAAGTAAGTTGATAAAAGGTATTTAAAGCAAAACCTATACCTTTTCATCAAGCAGAATTTCAGATAACATAGACATTGGAAAAAAACTTATACTAAAAGCATTTATACATTCAAAAAGTGGAATATCAGGACACACCAGTTACACCATCAAGAGTTTTGTACTATCTGTCCTCTGTTTCAGTCTGCGGTGGGTGATTTGCAAGTTTGTTGACAGGAAGAACGTTTATCACCTGCCTCATCTTGTCCATTTTCTTAATCCAGCCATTGGTGTGGACTCTTTGAGTTGTAGCTTAAATCAAAAGCTAGCATCTGGGAATTGATCCTATGACCTCAACTTATGGTAGAGATTGAGACAAGTGCTGAAAATCAGTGACTCTAATGGGTAATCTCTCATGTAACCTTTCTTTTAGAAACCTACGCTAGAGATTAGAGAACAGTTTTTTTTTTTTAAAGTAGTGATCTTCAACATTCAAAACAAAATAGAAATTTTGTTCATAAGTCCTTATTCATTCATTATTCATCATCATTCCATTTAGAAATGGTTTAGTTATGCTGGTGGTAAAATGTTTTACTAAATGCACTTTCTAAGGCATGTCAAAGTTCCTTTAAGGCAGCCAATATTACTCTGTGGCCATCTTTGAAACGCCTCTCGGGCAGTATGCACGGGCATTCTTTCTGAATGTGGATATAAATTCTTTGAAACTGTTTGCCAGTCATGTAATTACATTACATATTTTGGAATCAACAATAAAAGTAAACATCAACTATCTCCTAAGCTTCGTTGTTAAACTTCTGAACCAAACAAAATCTGCATATTTTCAGTTTTTGCATGCACATGAAAGGAATGAGATCACGACACCAACCAATATAAGACAGTGTTACACATTATCATCCTCTGGATAATGATCGTCAATGAGTTATTTAGGCTGAGATGCAGCCTAATATATATATATATATATATATATTGCGCAGGGAGCGACTCCCTTCAGTTTCAAAACGCATGATCGCGTTCATCGAATTTGCTTAAACTAAGCGTTCTAAAGTATGGTTGTATTTCACAAGGATTCTGACACTACAACGCGAAGCATACACTTTCATTGCGTTTAAGGAGAAAACAGGACAAACTTACTGAAACGTTGGAGGGCTCATGCTAAAAAGCATTGGAATGTCTTTGACAGCTCGCAACTTCATTGACACTTTCTAAGTAGCCTATGTTTATATTAGACACCAATTCTTCGATTTTAATATGTTTAAGATAATACTCTTATTAAAAGTCTACCGTGTAAGCAGCAATTTGATAACTTTAAAAGACCACAGGGTCACGAAATGCAGAGGTTTTTATTTCCGTTCGCTATGCAGTATCAAATTACATTAAAACAGAAGTCGAAAGTTAAAAATGAAACACCCGAAATTGCATGAAATTCGGGAGAAAACGCTGGAGAGCCTGGTGATGCAACATTAATTGTTTTATACTAAAACTTCCCTTCAAAAATTGCTTCCTTGGTCTTATGCATAAGTCTTTGCATGTTTACAACGTGTCGGCCACAACAAGAAGTAAAAAAAACCTGCAACTGCATTAATTGCGTAAATTTTTTTTAACACGTTAATTATTTCAATTTAATCGCATGCGTTAACACACAAATTTTGACAACACTAATATAAATATTTAATATATATATATATATATATATATATATATATATATATATAAAACACACACGCATACATTCATTCATTTTCCTTTCGGCTGAGTCCCTTTAATTATCTGGGGTTGCCACAGCGGAATGAACCGCCATCTTATCCAGCATATGTTTTTGCGCAGCAGATGCCCTTCCAGCTATCTCTGGGAAACATCCATACACACTCATTCACACTCATACACTACGGACAATTTAGCCTAACCAATTCACCTGTACCGCATGTCTTTGGACTGTGGGGGAAACCGGAGCACCCAGAGGAAACCCACGCGCACGCACAGAGAACATGCAAAGGCGAGACAATTTTTGTTGAAATTGTGACTGTTACAGAACATTTTCGACACCTTTCTACAGTGTGAGGATGAAAGTTACATCAAGAACCAATAGGAGCGCTGAACATGATTTAATCAGTGTGCCAACTTCAGGAAATTTCTAAGTTTTTTTTTCTGGTTTTATCATCAAGGCATGACTATGAATAAAATTAACACTACAGATTGTTGTCCTGTGGTATCCTCTCAGAGAGTTGCTGAAAGTTATATGGATTGACGATGTCATACCCCTAATAAGTATTGCGTGATTTTGGCATGTCTTGATTTTTGTTCAGTCTTATATTGCCAACTAAGATCTTGCAGTGTGGCGATCATGTTCATACAGTCTGGCAAGATAAAATTGTAAAGAATTATTAATCACAGTTTGAGTCTGGCTTTATATAAGATTTTTTGGAAGCAGGAAAGTTTGATTATTTTAAAGAACAAGAAAAATTGAAGGGTTGGCTAAAAATGTATCATTTTTGTATTGTTTTAAATTTAAATCATCCGGAGGACCTCAAGTTTGCTGCAGTTAGTTTGCCCCTCATATTCGGAAAAAAAAAAAATTAACGAGGTATTCTGTATTTAACTTTTTGACAAAAAAAAAGTTAATAAATATGTTTTGATTAAGCACTGTGTACTTTCCCTCTTATTTTGCTAAAGAAACCCACTAGTTGGAAAATCTAGAATTTATTCTCTGATCAGTCAGTATTGAAGGATTCGAGAGTTTTAAAAAAAAAATGCCGTTACAAATCCACAAGTGTGTGTGCAGAGACTGAGAAAGGCAGTGTTGCTCATTTCTTAAAGACACAAAAGTAAACCAAACTGTGACCGACAAAATGTGATGTATACAGTAAGTGTTAAACAGACCTTGTGGAAATAAAATGACTGGATTTGAAGTACTGTGACTGTCAGAGTTGACCATTTATGAGCAAGTCTACTATAAATTACACACATATATGCATGTTCAACTGTGGGCCTCTAGTAAACTTGACTGAGGTGTGAAAACTGCATGTGTTGTCGCGTAACAAGAAATGTTTAACTCCGTCAACAGCTAGTTTGTGCTTTATGGCAATACTCCTTTTTAATCAGGAAGTTGTTCCCTCTGGTCTCTGGGCACATAAAAACAATGTGCTTCTAGTTTGCTTTCCTTAAATTGTTGCCTCTCCCTATTCAAATGCGTCAGAGGGGTTTGGCTAACATACTGTTGGACCAGCTTTTGGTTTGTGATGGAGTCATAAGAAATCCACAGACCTGCTCATTCTTTTTAGTTAGACCCTCCAGACATTATTCTCAGCTCCGTGTTAGCGCCTGTGAAGAAGGCTTAATGAAACGTGAGCCACAACAAACCGTCCCTGACGTCATCCGCGTCTGTGTTCACAGCAGCTGGAAAAGTGCTTGTGTATTTATAGATCTTTCCTTTCTAAGAGTAATTATGGTTCTACATTTTGAAGACACTTTCTCTCGATCATTTCAGCTTAACACAGGTTATTGGTGTGATGATGTGGAAACTATTGCATTAGAGGTGCAGTCACTTATTCGTCCGTTCATGGATTTATTTGTGCGAGTGCTTGTTCATTCTCTGATTGGTCATTTTAGTGACCTATTTACTCAACTCCACCTCCGTTGTTATTTTATATATTGGTCTTCTGTGGAACTTGAACTTGCATTTCGCTTGGGGTGGCATTGTTCACTCACCACAAATGCATTTGCAAAGCACAAGGAAGTATTTTGAAGAATGTTGCAGCAGTATTTTCATTATGTCATTGGTGTCTGGAACCTTCAAGTTTCCTAAATAACATTATTAAAATAATCCATGTGAATTTATTGATATATTTAAAGTTTAACATCATATTAAATCCTTAGATAGGAGGGGTGCTTCGGGGGCTTAAGTCCCTAATGTAATGTCAAACGCCTCTGATCTTTTGGAATATGTTGCACTTAGATAACAAAATAAATGTTATACAACCTATTTTTATTTAAGTACTTAAAATTACCACATATATCATGCGGATTCCACTTAACGCAGCATTTGTGTTGGGTAATTAAATAGTTAGCTGTTCAGCAGTACCTGTTTTTACCGGCAAGTGGGAGTGGCACTGTTGTCACGTCATCATTCATTCTTTATTTTGACGAGCTGAAGCTGATGAGGTAATAATACAACCGTTTCGCAAAGCTGAATAGTTCTAACTACTGATAAAGTTTAATATTTGTTTTCACAGTGTAAAATGTGTGTATTTTTGTCAAAATTAAATAACTGTAATTAATAAATGTAAATACATGCGAATTAATAAGAAAAACGCTAATTGTTCTAGCTTTTTAGATATGATATAGATATTTAGACATATTTCTCACATCTGCTTTATTTTCATTCAACTACAGCAATTGGTGGATGCCTTCATCCATATGAGAAATTTCTGGGATGTTCTACTTTGAGGCATTTATGAAATTTCAGCTCAAGTATGAATGAAACAAGAATTACATGCATTAAAAGTGCTACAATGCACACATCAACCTATTTTGAGGAAAACTTTGGGGCCAAGCCTCCTATCACTTTTGACAGTATGAATTTATGTATGTAGTGTCGTCCCAAATGAAACACTCGTTTTTATTTTTATTTTTACTAAGCGGAAATTCAAACTGTTTTCCTGATGTTTGACGGCTGACAAATTAGTAAAACAAATGACCAAAGTACCAAATAATACCTGCCATGAGTATTCCGCATTCACCATCAGGAGGTGCTATAATCACTCTAGTAGGTAAATACTGCTTCCACAATCCAATATAAGTTATGTAATCCAACATGAGTGCCGATAGCTCCGCCCCTTCTGCTACATGAGCAAAGCTGCGGTTGAGTGAGTGAAGTGTCCATCATTTCACACTTCATTTTAATAGTTTAGCAAGTGCATCATCCGGGTAATTAAGGTGCACTTATTTTTACAGTTTTCAATGTGTTTATACTTCAAAATGATGTAGAATAGTATATAAATACGCGATTTGGGACGCACCTCATGTCTCCTTAACCAAACACACCTGATTCAGATCATCAGCTCATTAGCAGAAACTGAAAGATCTGTAATGGGCGTAGCAACAAAGTAGACATTGAAGACATGCTGTGTTGGTGAGCCTCCAGAAACGTGGTTGAAAAACGCTGATTCATTATTCAGAACTGTCTTTGGGTCTCAGCTAAGTTTGTTTGTAGCTGTAAAAATGTGTCCATGAATGGGATTCTCAATCCAACATAATCAACTCACAATAACACCACTGGTTCTTGGATATCACCAAAGTTTTACATCACCATATTAGATGCTCAGTGCTGTTTTGTAGTCCTCTGTTTATCACAAATCAGTGCCAAAGTGGTAAATGAAACCTGTAATTTGTGGTGATCAGAAGAAAGCAAAACGTGTGTGTATATATATATATATATATACATTTTTTTTTTTTTTTTATAAAAGCAATGTATTTTACGTACACTGCATGTGATATGTGTTGTTTTCTTAATCTTCCTCAGGTGTTGGTGCTGCCACTTCTGGTAAGCTCACTTTTATGGTTGGTGGGCCAGAGGAAGAGTTCAATGCAGCCAAGGAGCTTCTGAGCTGTATGGGTGCTAATGTGGTTTACTGTGGCCAAGTTGGCACTGGACAGGTATAAACAAGAAGTCTTTGGCATAGGGCTAGAGGATATGGCAAAAATTTATATCACGATATATTTCTTAATTTCGGTTGATGCGATCTAATTTCAATATCAATATGGACAATATTATAAAGCCAGGAAAAAACTAGCAAGAATGCACACAATGAATATCTGTACCCACAAATGTCTGCAAACTGAATTTGCAAAGTCTTTAATGGCATCCAGGCTCTTATAACTTTTTTTTTTTTTTTTTTAATGAAAACAGTACGAAAACAAAATGTTAGCTTTTTATTTGTACTTAGCCTCTACACACAAGAAATGTGAAATAAACTATCAAATAAATAATAAATAATCCCAGACTCAGCTTATTTATATATAGCTGAGGTTCTGTCTGTCCATTTCTATTTGTGTAATTAATTGTACATCATCACGCAAGTGACATTATGGCTGAGCACTGAATGTCATTCAGCGACAAATAATAATATATGAGATATTATACATATGATAGTAATACATATATGCAAATTTATATCGAAATACCGGAAATTTAAAACTTACATCACCATCATTGAAAAAAATCTAACGTGATATATATTGATATTGAATTATTCTCCCATCCTACTTTGGCATTCTTGAAAAGGCCCAGATTTGTCTTCTCATAAATGCTCTTTCCTTGTTCATATAGGCAGCTAAAATCTGCAACAATATGCTGCTGGCCATTGGGATGATTGGAACAGCAGAGACCATGAACTTGGGAATCAGGTGCAGTTGACAGTTGAATTCACTATTTAACATTGTGGGCATATGTATCTAGTGAAGTGGTCTTTAGGCTCCTTGTTAGAGCAACCAACTCCCATGCAAAGAATCACTAGTTCAATCCCAGCTTAGACCAGGTTAGGTGCCGTTGGACTGGTGTTACATGGGGGGGGCTCATCCAGGATGGGGGTGAGTGTTACGGAGACCAGCTAGTAAAGTGCAGGTAAACCTCACTCCTTTGACCTCAAAAGGTGCTCTAGCAACAGACACTAGAGGCCATGGTCTTTAGCCTTTTTGTTAGAGCAACCGATTCCCATGCAAATAATTATAAGTTCAATCCCAGCTGAGAACGGGTTGGGTGCAGTAGGACTGGTGGGTTACACATACTTTTAGGTTCTACAGATTGTATTGATTTCTACTTTTTACTCTGTGCTTTTTGTATTAACAGATTAGGACTTGACCCTAAACTTCTTGCAAAGATTTTGAACATGAGCTCTGGCCGCTGTTGGTCAAGTGACACCTATAATCCTGTCCCAGGTGTGATGGAGGGAGTGCCCTCAGCAAACAACTACCAGGGCGGTTTCGGCACTACACTAATGACCAAGGTTGTCTTTAATGTATTCATTGCTTTGGAACGTATAACAGTACAGATATTTTTGGCATTTTATGGTGTTTATTAAAGAAGTGTTTAAATCATTAATATAATGGTAAATCGTTTTCATTGACACAAGGTGTGTGGACTCTTTGGAGCATCTTTAGATGTCAAATTATATTAGTCAAAACAATGATAAATATATTTGACTATAGCCCATTTCTCACTCACTGCTGTTTGAAAACGATATAATACCACAAAGTAGATTCAGATTAGTTATGTTGTTTTATTATAAATATATTTTTGTAAATATTCTAAATTGGTTAAATTCCATTAATTCCAGTTGTTTTAATACTGTTAAATTTCAGATTATTGGTTGTATAAATGTAATATAGTTATGTACATTTGGATTTTCCGTCAGTATTAAGAGCTTGATTCTCCATCAAAATATTTGAGTCATTTATAATTCAAGCTGATAGCTTTCTCAATTTTTTATTTAAAAATTTAAAAAACAGTTTTTAGTAGTTCTTCAGGCAGATGTTGATTTGTAAACTCAATTTAAACTCAAATTTATAATTAATGTTTCATTTATTGACCATTGCAGTGTTTGTTTTTGTTTCTGTGCACTTTTTTTGTTGCTTTAATTTTCAATTCAACACAGGATAAACCATTTTCCAGCATAAAAGTACTTTTTTAGTCTATTTTTTTTTAAAGAAAATCTGTGAAAATATGTTAGTGTAATATTATATTTTTGTGATTACCGTCTTCTAGGCTAAAAGATAAAACCATTTTGAAAGATGTTAAAAAAAACAGTGACTGCTAGTCAGTTTTGTGGAAAACAGTTACACTAACACTTGTTACACTGATGGACACCAATTAAACAAACAAATTAATTGTTGAACTTTGAATGTTGAACTTTTTATATAAAATTGTATTTTAGTAGAAAATATTTTTAATAGAAAAATATAATAATTTTATTGCTAATAATGCAAATAAATCCAGATGTGTTTATACAGTAGATACATAAATAAACATACTGTGCTATGTAGAATAAAAAATCAATTGAGTTATGTATTGAGTAAAAAATAGCTACTATTTAAAGTAATCTGAATCTAAATTAATTGTGTAAAATCAGCCTTTTTAAGCATGTGTTACAACTAACCTTCTGTTCGTTACAAATTACTCTGTGGGTGGGGTAAATAGTACCATTTTTACTCCTGGTACTTTTGGCAATACTGCACAAACCACAGGTCCCTCGATCATACAACCAGTCCTCATTTGTGAAGGAGGCTTTTGGTTGTTGTAAACAAAATATGGTTTGTCTAACCACATTACTTTGTTCATTATTTGGCCAAAACAATAAAGTGTTACTTTATGCCCTGCTCTGCCTTAATCTTCCTTTTACAACGACACCTCTTTGTTGACACTTAAGACTGTCATATATTTGTGATGCAGATCCCTCCTTGATAATTTACTTTTATTTAATCTTAGGATCTGGGACTTGCTCAGAATTCAGCAACCAACACGAAAACCCCAGTGCTGTTGGGCTCTGTAGCCCATCAAATTTACCGCATGATGTGTGGACGCGGCTATGCCAACAAAGACTTCTCATCTGTCTTCCAGTTTCTTCGAGAAGAGGAGGGCCAATAGAAGGCAATCCCTTTCTGCCCCTTCCACAGCCTTACCTGCCTTGCACATGACCTGACTCGCAAAACTTTGACCCAACTATGTGATTTCATTGGCATGCATGTGCTGGGAGTTATGAATGAATGATTGACTCTATAGACTGGAGTGGGAATAATTGTGTGTTTGTTCTCTTTATGCGTGTCCATAACGTTTGAAGCTGTGAGTTCCTATTGGAATCATGTAACTAAATTGGGCCCACATGTAGAATTAGTAATCCACCGATCAGTTGCTGAGATGCTGTGAATTGACGTTTTTTCTGCCTTCAGAGCTGTTCTAATTGAAATGTATTATTAAATGGTCACCAATCACAATCTTGTAAGACTCAGATCAGCTGTTACACTCCTCAATGCTCTGTTAGTAAACAGATTTGCATATGTAAAATATTAGTTTCTACATTTTCAGTCGTAGTTGCGTTTGGCGGATCTTGTTATGTTAATGATGGATCTACATGTAATATTCATGTAAATTTAAACTCTTGGAAATTAAAGTAGGAAATTTCAAGTTTTGATGGTAAGACTGATGTGTTGAAACATCCATACAAATTCATATAACACTGCCATGTTGATGTTTGTTAAATCCAGAAAGGATGGTATGCTGTGATGCAACATCGTATTTATTTTTACTTGGTCTCCTCCCTCTCTTCAAGGTCGCAGAGTGGAATGTTAACGCTTCTTTATGAAGCCTCACCTTGAATTCAGTGCTGTGTAACACAATAAAGATGAGTCAGAAAGCAGGGATTTTCCTGCATCAAGGAAATTAATAATTCAGCCTCATACTCTCTCAAGAAGAATGCTCACAAAAAAATATAATAAAATAATAAAATGATAACCTTGGATAAAACATTACATTTAATGTTTTTACATTACATTAAAAAAACAGATTTCTTTACAATTTAAAGTGGCATCTTTGAATGTTTTTTTTCTGCTGAAGATACTGTTGTCCTAAAAAAATGTAAATAAAAAAATCATACACATACCTTAGGAACGGTATTACAGAATATTTTGGCGGTTTTAAAACCTTAACTTTTCCAAACTATATATATAATACCTTGAAAACGCCTCATGCCTAGTCCAAATACATTACACCCCGAGTTAAATGGTCATTTCAAACTATCGCAATGCATGTTCTAAGGATAGAATACATATATCAGTTTGGAATGGCATGAGTTGAATCAATGACAACAGCAAATTCAGGATCCCAGTTAATAACACTGTAAAACCCAACAGTCAACTTTATCAAATGGAATGAGTGTAGTTAAAATTTACTGAAAGTTAATTCTACTCATTTGAAAAGAGTTTTAAACTAGTTTTGAAGGTAATGAGTTAATTAAATATGTCATTACTTCAATCTAAATGGAGTAAATTCACAGTACTCATAGATTTGCTTTTTGAATCAAAATGGTTTGTACCAATCAGTTTTCTCAAATGGTTTGAGTTGCCATAACTTATTGCGTTTTACTGTACTCAGTTGGTTTGAGTTCTCTTCATTTTTTGGGGTTTTACTGTGCTCAAATTGCTTCATTTATTCAAATGAATTAGGTTCACAGTACTCATTAGGATTAGTTTTTGAACTTTGAACAAATGGTTTGTTGCAATCGGTTACCTCAAACAGTTAGAGTTACCTTGACTTTTTGGGTTTTACAGTGCATAAATGTGTAATTTAAACTGTTTAGCTGACTTAGGTCACATTTCCATGAAGGTAAGAGGCGAGTGATACAACTGGGTTTATCTGATTTTTCACCCTCTCATGCTCACAACTTTTTCTCCCCATAAGAACTTTTCTTTGCCTCTTCGTCTCGCATTGTCTTTAATGTCATACTCATACCCTTCTTTTTTCCCCAAAACGAGTGGAAATGTAGTTAGTGGTATGTTTCTGATCTACCCACCAAAGAGCCACGGAGAGGCCATAATGCTAGAGGTCACATGATCACAGGACAAACCCATAAAAAGTCCATTAAGCATGGAGGCCTAAGTGCTGTGTTGTTATCTAGTTGGCAGGTCTTACAAACGGGACCATGGGGTAGCTATACTTCAGACAGCTCCAAACCCGCTAGTCCATTCTGGTGTGTTCCATTTAACGACGTTCATTGGTGACTGAAACACCTGAAAAAAATCTCCTGTCCTTTTTGTGAGGTATAGCTTGTGTAGACTGAAACATGTGAAACAAATGTTCTCAATTAAACTGTGTCTGTTTTCGTTGTTTATTTCCTATTTGTAGGACGAAAGTCTTTAGAGTCGGGATTATTATTATCATTATTATTTTTTTTGGCAAATGTGGGCACTCATCTTCGACCAAATTGCTCAATGGTGACCGAAGATGAGAAATGCATTAAAATAATTTATTCGTTGAAGGTTAGCTTTATTTACATTGTATTTAGTCACAATTATGATTTCATTATTTGTAGATTTGTTTGTAATTGGTAGCCTATTCGTTAAAGGTAAATTAATTCCAATACACGTTCTTAAAATTAACCGGACAGAAAAACTTGTTCCAAAAATGCGTGTCATCACTTAATAGTTTAACTGTAAAAACGTGTAGTGCTTAAGTAGTCAAATTTAAATGTAAAGTTCTCACTGCTTAATGTTTCGATTAATTCGCATAATTAATTGACAATCCCTAAAAACTTTAATAGCTTAAAAATTTATTATAACAGTAACATGTTTTTTGATTATACCATTTTTTTACAATTTATGTAAGCACATTTTACAACAAATAGTATGCTTAAATTGGTGTGTGTAAAGCAAAACCATAAACTTTAAAAAATTACAGTAAAATATGAACAAATTCAACTGTTGGCTTTAATAAAATGTAACACATTTTATAAATTTAAAAGTCAAATTTAATAAAACATTTTGGTCAGTCCACATTTTAGATTATTTGATTAGCTTAAACCTACAAAAAAAAAACAAAAAAACATGCTTTATAGGGTTTGTTTCTAGTAAGTATAGAGGCATTGAATTTTGTCTAATCATCAGTAACGTGTGAGGTGCTTGTACTCCCAGTTTATTTTAATGCGATTTAATTAAGTTTTTCCGTATAGCCGAAGTGCACTAAGTTTAATAACATTTTATTTATTTCTATAGGTTAAACCTTGACACGAGCTCCAGGTCTGGTAGAAATAGGATAATGTGTACTGCTAAGATTTTGAGTATAGTGTAGTTAGGTTTAACTACGTGAAGAATTCCAACATGCCATCTGAGACCCTACTATCTGTATTTTGCGAAGAAACATGTTTGATAGCTCAAAATAAATGAGAATATATGAGAATCATTTATTTACATTAAAACGTCTCACTCGTCGCCTTTGATTCAAACCTATTTTTTTCATATTTTGTGTTGTTCCATTAAACAAAACGTGTACAGGTCATTTTTACTTGTGACATATTAAACCTCATATACTTTGACCAAACTTTTGTAGTAAAACAAATTCAAAATGACTGTAGCCTATGAAATCACTTTTATTGGCATTTATTTCAGCACTTTGTCCAAAAACTATTTGTTTAGGTAACTATTATCTGCGTGTATAATTGTAGGATATCTTTTAAAAAAGAGTGAATTGGAATAGGTATATGAATTATGCATAAGCAATAATGTTAAACTGGTTTCTGAGAATTTATTTAACGGATGTTTGCACTTTGAATCATGAAGTGCCAATAAAACGATTTATTCCAGATTTTATTAAAACAATAACTAAGGTAATGCTATCTTTGTTTTGGTAAACATACAAATGCATTACTAAAATATATATAAATTTTGTATTTTTATTTGTAAAGGCTCAGGTTTTAATTACTACGCAATACTGATGGCTGGCGAAATTTCAGCACAGAGAAACACAAAATACACAAACCAATTCTCCCAATAATTAAGGTTTATGGGAAACAATGTTTAGGCAATTATATTGATGTAAAAATACTGTGAATAAACTAAGTTTTACATTTTTAAATCAAATTAATATCTTCAATATTAAACCCGCAAATATTAACTACTGGTTCGCAAATAATGACAGCCAGATGACTATGCTAGATGTAAAATATTTATCTTAATTTTTTTGAGGGACGGGTTAAAGGTGATAATGATTTTCGTATACTTATTGGATGCACTGCATTATTATTATTATTACTATTATTATTATTATTATCCTGCATTAAATTGTGAAAAATTATACAAATATGCTAAGTCATTATGTTTTTCTCCATTATTAGGGAGGCTATGTGTTTTCAGATGTGTCTGGCCATTTTTATTCCACCCGTATCGTTGTTTTCGTTTGGAAATGTATTTCTGAGCTTTTTCAGAACCTAAAATTTTAAACAACTATTTACAAGTTATCGTTATTTAATGAATAAATAAATATTTAAATGGACATTAATTCTGATCATAGTATTTTAAACTAAGTTTCAATTAAATTTATTTAGCAAAATATTATAATAAAATCACAAATAATTAAAAAGGTCTGCAGTACCAATAAGTGTGTGATATTGCGCAGTTACATTATTTTTTAAGCATGGTAAGATTTGCAGCCATACTGTGTTGTTCTCTAGCAGTAGACAACACAAAATAAGACCTCAAGGCTTCGTGGCTTTCAAATATTTACATTTAATACATGTAGTACAGCTGTCCCGACTTTGACTTTATTGGTTTTGGTTTTATTGGGCCTATTCTAAATTAAAATTATTTTAAATTCAATTACTTGCCATAACGATTTTCAAACGTCTTAAACGCTTAGTAGTAGAAAATAAGCATTTTAATAAACATCATCTCGAGGCCTTACATGCTATTTGATTGTGTACATTTAAAATGTTCTTCACATTAGGCCATTCGTATAGCTATAATCGCAGTGCTGTAACAAACAACAAGACAGCTGCGTTTAAGTCCAAGCTTGAGGAAACAATTGATTTTTAATGTTGTAGAATGACGCAGTCCGTTTACGGTCGCCTCTCCTTCGTGGTAAAATTAGCAATGGACCGAATCTTTTGTCTAGTAGAGCAACCGTTCTCACATCCGTCTTCCATTGTGAGAGGGAATCTTAATGGCTCAAGAAACCTTAAAAAGATCAAATAGTGACTTGGCGCCTAACATGCCCGTGTTTCTACGCCACCAGCGAGGTTATTTCCTGTGTAACTCTGCTGGATAGTGAGCGTATACAAACAGCTGCTTCTCGCTTACTAAAAATTGCATCGTTCTCTAACCTTGTAATGTCTGTGTTCTTGAAAAACATTGTTGTTGTGTGTTACAATAATTTGCAGATTTAGAAGAAAATAAGTTCTTTTTTTAACTAAATGCAAGGCTGCCAAGGCTGATTTTATTGTGTTATGAGAGAAACAGCGGTTTGCAGAAAACGGTATAAAAAAAAAAATATATATATATATATATATATATATATATATATATATATATATATATATATATATATATATATATATATATATAGACCTTATGTTATCCGTAAACTATTTTTATATGCCTAAATGTTTTTACAAATAGCACAATTTTGGGGAAAAGAACCATATTAAAATATTTCATTTCAAAATGTAGGGGATTTGATAATTTATTAACCGAAACAAAAAGTACACTTTTAAGTACACCTATATTGTCTATTAAATTATATATATATATATATATATATATATATATATATATATATATATATATATATATATATATATATATATATATATATATAAAGTAGCATATGTCGTGAGAAAGGCTACTATCTTATCCTCCGTGCTAATTTCAACTGAATTAAAATACGATTGATAACAATTAGATCATGATGTGATGTATCCTATAGGGCATTAGTAATCGACCTATTTAACACTAATGACCAAAAAGACGGTGATAATTAATATACTTATCACAATAAGAATAATTATCATAATATTACAAAGCTTTTCTTTACTCTGAAGTTTTTCATAATAAATCCAGCAGTGCCAAACCGGTGACATCGCTTCCAAACCCGCATAATGCAAACATAGGATCAAAACACGATCATGCTAAATTCGTGGCATCACAAACAGTATACCTTTGTGTTCCTGTTTACAATGCACTCGGAGATGTGTGGTTTTTTCCTGTCAGACGGTCTAGCCTTCAATGACAACAAGGGCCCTGACTAGACTGCAACTTTCAACTTGACCTTGGCCTCCAGCCGTGTGAAACTCATATGCAAACGAGTCTTGCCAAATTGTGGCTGGATTTCTAGCCGTATAGAGTAATAAACTGGTGGTCAATTTCATAAAGTGTGATTTGTTATTTGAGAATTTCATGAGCTTACAATGGTCAATTATATTACAGTGAGGGTTCACTGTAGCGGTGCAAAATTTTGTAGAGCAAAAAAATAAAAATAAAATAAAATTCGTAAAATTATCGAAAATTGACATTTTAAGAGTTTTTTTTTTTTTTTGGTGACTGAATAAACTGACACATCATAATGTCTTGGATCGAAGACTAAAATGAGACTTCCTTTTCTAACAAAAAAGTGCTTAACTATTAATAACATAGTAAGTCTGAAACGCAACAATTTATGCAATATTAAATGTAAAATTGTATATTTCCATTGCTTTTATTTGTACTTTAATACATGGTATTATTATTTACGAATCTTACTGAAAATCCGGTAAGAAGACAAGTAATATCCCATTGTGCAATGGAATGCCACTTGGCCTCCTCTTATGAAGCTTATCACTAGAATCTTTACAGCTATTTTTGACTAAATCCCACCACTTTGTTTCAGTTCAATGCATTACGTTTGTCATGCTAGATTGGCGTTATCTCTAGTTTAGACGTTTATCAACCTCTTTGCATGTCACGTGCCTGCTCTCGTCCAATAACAGTTGGATCCTGACGCACGCGGGGCGCATGGGTATCTGTTACTCCACTGATCCACAGCTTCTCTTTCAGTCTTGGGGAATTCTAAAAGAGCTGCTGGGCTCCATGTAGGGCGTGCTATGACAGCGTCTTTACTCCTCCATTCCCGCTGGATTGACCCGGTGATGTTTCTCTATGACAACGGTTTGGATGATATGAGCAAAAACATGGAAGGATTTGTGGGAGGCAATTTTGCTGCGAACCAGTGTAGGAATCTCATTGCCCATCCGTCTACTTTGGCTCCGAGTACAACCTACACATCGAGTGAGGTGCCAGTGTCGGGCATGGGAGAGCCTGTCAAACAATGCAGCCCGTGTTCGGCCGTGCAAAATACCCCAAGTGCTTCTTTGCCCTATGGATATTTTGGCGGCAGCTATTACCCGTGTAGGATGCCCAAGTCCTGCACGCAACCCACCACATATGGAGAAAAATACATGGACACTTCTGTTTCTGGAGAGGAGTTTCCTTCTCGAGCAAAGGAATTTGCTTTCTACCAGGGCTACTCGTCTGGCCCTTACCAGCCTGTACCAAGTTACCTTGACGTGCCAGTTGTACCTGCGCTGAGCGCTCCTTCGGAACCGAGACATGAATCTCTACTGCCTGTGGAAACGTACCAGCCGTGGGCAATCACTAACGGGTGGAGCAGTCCAGTGTACTGCCCGAAAGATCAAACACAGTCAAGTACCTTGTGGAAATCGTCTATCCAAGGTAAAATGCTGCATCTCTGCTTTATTGCCACAAATAAATCGTTCACAAATGCTTAAGCATAAAAAAGTAACCTTTAGGCCCTGAGAAAAACGAGACTATCTAATAGTTATTTGAAACTGATATTTAAAAAAGAATTAACTTGATATTACTAATTCTTAATGTTAAAAGTAGACTGAAAAGGTTTGTGATTCACAGCAGTTCCTACAACATTTCCGCACACTTATTTATGTGTGCTTTATCCGACGTATGTATTTTCGTTGGTTGCGCTGCCTCGGAGACACACCATTGTGTTATTACATTTTGCGCCCTATTATTTGATACTCTGCAATCATTATCATCTGTTTTGGCAATGACTTTTTCTTATTTTGGATTTGATCTGACCCATAGATACCGTGTCAGGTACCGATGGAGCCTCAGTACGTCGAGGGAGAAAGAAGCGGGTTCCCTACACCAAGGTTCAATTGAAGGAACTAGAACGAGAATATGCCACAAATAAGTTCATCACAAAGGACAAACGAAGAAGGATATCTGCTCACACAAACCTGACCGAGCGACAAGTGACCATCTGGTTTCAGAACAGGCGGGTAAAAGAAAAGAAAGTGGTCAACAAGTACAAGGGCATCAGTTAAGTCCTGGAGATTATTAAAACTGAAATACAAAAAGTGGTGTAAATGGAAGGACAATCACCATTATTTATTTTGAAATCCATTCCACCATCTGTTCCACGTCACGAGACTATGCGGAGATGCGCAGGAGGGAAAATGTAAATTTCAATTTCCTGTGTACATATTGCCAAGACACTGACATTGATCAAACGCAAAGATAGTGCTCAAGAACAGTGTATCCTTATTCACCACTTGATTTTTCTTTCCTTTTTAATATATAACTTTCTTTCAAAGACGTGGAAAGAATGTAAATTCATTAATGCCCTTTCAACACAGTGAAAGAAAATCAGTGAAGTAAACGAAGACAAATCCTTGCAATTCGTGTTTTTATTTTAATTTACTTTTAAAACATCACCTTTCCATAAAAAAACAACTGTACATTTATGACTGTGGATTTGCATGCTACGTGAACTGTACACTAAAGTTACCCTAAACAATGACAAAAAAGCTGTTTGCGCTTTAATTTTCTATTAATTTAATTTTTTTAATCCCGTGCGTACGTTTGTAAATACGAAGTTGCTTTCAGGCACCTGCAAAGTATAAAAATCATGTGTTATTGCAGACAGTATACAAATAAAACGCCCCATGTAATGTTTTTTTTTTTTCACAATTTTCTTTGTATCTGTAGCCTGACTTTTCTTTTGTCAACATTTACGTCAAAAAGGTTTAACATAAACTGTTTTGCTCTTTTAAATGCATTTATGTAATTCTACTTTTATTAATGAATATGTAAAATATATGTCAGCTACTAATATAAATTGGCAAGTAGGTTAATGGCTTTGATTAATGTTTTTACCATTGATAAGGGATATCTAGAACAAATGCTCTGCAAAAGTAATTCTTCATGAGTTTGGCCGTGCCGCCATCTAGTGGCACAACTATGCACTTGCATTGACTTAATGCTATTGGGTGTTGCTCATCATCGAAGTATTAGATAACATCTGAAATTTCATTGCACCATGCAAATTAAGCTATTTGAATCTTTAAAATAAGGTATAAAAAATATGAACGAGTAGTGCGTGAAAGTCGGAGTACAAGTAATAAGTCTAAGGGCTTGATATTGGTGGTATAGGCTTTACGTAAATGTACTTCTTCATACCGGTCATGCTTTATTTACCCACGACCTAAACTTAGCTCAAATAGTGATTCCCACTTTAGCTTTTAAGTTGTAGGCTTTACTGCTTTTAATCTAAGGTTTGTCGTGCACTTTTTCCAAAACAATAGATTTACTCTTACCTTACAGAATTTCACATTTAAACAAACAAGTAGGCAATTTATGCCCATTTTTAGATTATCATGAAACAATACACACTAATACAAACGAAACACAAATACAATACAAACAAACAAAACCAAAAATAAAATAAACACGTAAACTTATTCCAAACGTTTACTGAAATCAAGATTCAAATTGAACCAAGAAACAACTAAAAGCAAACTTAAAAAGAAAATGATTGAACAGACGTGTTAAGAACTTCCAAAAAATATCTAAAGAAATCAACAGCTATTAGACAAATAACATTTTAGCGTTTTACGCAACTAAGTTTCGGATTAATATTCATGATTTAAACTTATATTGCCTACCCATATTTTGTTTTTGGATATTGGAACGTGGCTTAAATACGAAAGGGGGGTTTAAAATTTCAAAACATTAAAAATGGTATGTAGTTTATTTTTCATTTGCGCCGTGTTTATTGTTTTTTTCTGATAAATACTTTAATATTTTTCTTTTTTTAAACCATGGTTTACAAAAGACAATAGAATATCTTATAGACAAAAAATGCTTTTAGAGCAAAAATATTTTGATAAATATATATCAGTGCAGCACCTATTTACACAATAATTGTATTTTTTGCCCATTCATCCGCAAGAAGTAAAACCCATGAACACACACACACACACACACACACACACACACACACACACACACACATATATATATATATATATATATATATATATATATATATATATATATATATATATATATATATATATAAAGTCAGAATTATAAGCCCCCCTTTGAATTTTCTTTTTTTTTCCTTTTTTAAATATTTCCCAAATTATGTTAGACAAAGCAAGGAATGTCTGATAATATTTTTTTCTTCTGGAGAAAGTCTTATTTGTTTTATTTCGGCTAGAATAAAAGCAGTTATTAATTTACCTAAACAACATTTTAAGGATAACATTTTCTAGCCCCTTTAAGCTACAATTTTTTCGACTACCAAAAGAACAAATTATTGTTATAAAATTAGTTGCCTAATTCTTGGTGTTAAAAAAAAATCTGCTAAACAGAAATTGGGGAAAAAATAAACAGAAGGGCTAATAATTCTTACTTTAACAGTGTGTGTGTGTGTTTATATATATATATATATATATATATATATATATATATATATATATATATATATATATAGTTGAAGAATTATTAGCCCCCTGTATATTTATGTTAAACGAAAAGATTTTTTAACACATTTGTAAACATAAATTCTAATCACTAATTTCTAGCAACTGATTTCTTTAATATCCGCCATGATGGCAGTACATACTAAATGTTTTTCAAAATACTAGTATTCAACTTAAAGTAAAATTTACAGATTTAATTGGATCAATTAGGCTGACTAGGCATGTTATTGGTAAATATTGGTAATTAGGCAAGTCATTGTATAGCAATGGTCTGTTCTGTAAACAGCTGAAAAAAATTGCTTAAGAATGCTAATAATATGGACCTTAAAATGGTTTTAAAAATAACCTAACACACACACACACACACACACACACACACACACACACACACACACACAGCAATAAGTGGAAATAATTAGGGCGAATGGCAGTAGGTAGTGCTGTTGCCTCACAGCAAGAAGGTCGCTGGTTCGAGCCTCGGCTCAGTTGGCGTTTCTGTGTGGAGTTTGCATGTTCTCCCTGCGTTCGCGTGGAATTCCTCCGGGTGCTCCGGTTTCCCCCAAAGTCCAAAGACATGCGATACAAGTGAATTGGGTAGGCTAAATTGTCCATAGTTTGTGTTTGTGTGTGTGTGTGTGTGAGAATGTTTGTGTGGATGTTTCCCAGAGATGGGTTGCGGCTGGAAGGGCATCCGCTGCATAAAAACTTGCTGAATAAATTGCGGTTCATTCAGCTGTGGCTAATACAACTATTGTCAAACAATCTGATACACTGAATCGTTTTCAGTAATAACTACTAATGAAAATTATCTCTATGTGGGATCTGAAGGCAAATTATGAGCTGTCGCTTCTATAAGCGTCTGGGTAGATGCAAAATGTGGAGGCAGAGGTAAATGGACGGGATTCACAATTTGCGTTTCAGTTTCATTAAACCCCTGCAGGGTGCAGTCATTTCAATTTGGACTGTGCTGCCACCCAAAGGCACTAAAATAAATTACATTAGCAAACCATAGCAGCTCTCAACTTTGGAGATGGTTTGTCATGTGTAAATTAAATTCAGATAAAATTTTGCTATTCCAATTAGGCCTACATTCAGACAACCTTAATATCATTATCACATCGCTATTAAAACTTAGCTCCAATCAAAGAAAATGTGATGTTTATTGCACTACTTTCAGAAAAAAGGCTATATTCTTTTTTTCAAACGTGCGGATAATGTAGGAGGATGCCTCAATAAGTAGAGGAAATGAAATCTTCAGAAATTACAATTGTTTCCTTCACTCCAAATTAAAGCCATAGCGACAGAAAATCAATTATTGCCCCTTTGAACAACAACATTTCGCTATAGAACGATTCAACATACAAATATTTATACATTTTCATAAATCAAAAATAGCTAAATAACTCACCCGGTGTTTTACAAACGCTTGATAACAAAGTCAAAGCATTTCTTCACGTTATTAAAAAAGCAACCAACGAATTGGAAACTATATAGAAAATCTCATGGACATTCAGGTTTGAATTTAAACTTTTATTTAAAACGCCTTTTTATATTACGATCAAAATATTAACGGACATGCCTCCCGCATGCTGTAAAATGTTTTAATCATTATTACGCATATTTTAAGTTTTTTTTTTTTTTTTTTTTTTTTTTTTTATCTGTGACGGGCGTATAGCGGTTTTTATAGCTACACCTTTAATTCCCCTTTGTTGTTTTTCAGTCAGGTCTGCACTTTACAAAATTCTTTAAAGTTGTTTTAAAAGTCAGTGTGGAATTAACATTAATACTCATCAAACTTCACCGAGGAAGTGCAAGACAAAAGTTGTGTTTAGACTCATCCATTTCCACCTAAATACATTTATTTAACACACACACACACACACACACACACACACACACACACACACACACACACACATATATATATATATATATATATATATATATATATATATATATATATATATATATATATATATATATGAAGAGTTCAGAGGCAAAAACCTCTAAATGCCGTCTGAAATTCTGCTCTAAAATAAGCATTTTTATCAGGATACTGCGTTTAGGTTCAGTAATATCACATTTATGGCAAAGAATGTGCCCTTTTCTTGGTCTTTAAGGTAAAATAACTTAACAAAAACAAAGGAGGCTGAAAATGTTTATTTTCGATGGAAATTTGAGACGGCACTTAGAGGATTTTGCATCTGAACTCTTCATATAGTGTTACATCTATCTATCTATCTATCTATCTATCTATCTATCTATCTATCTATCTATCTATCTATCTATCTATCTATCTATCTATCTATCTATCTATCTATCTATCTATCTATCTATGTCCTGCACTGCGACAAAAGAATGAAAAGAGAATCCTTGTGCCAATTTAAATGCACCAAAGCGTATATTCTCACTGACAATAATATCACAATATTTTAATTATTTAAATTTAAATTATCATTGCCACTTATTGGCATACTTCTTCTGAAAATGTAAAATGTTCTATGAGTTCGACAAATACATAATTTAAAAAAGGATCCATGCTACAAAATATATAAATAAAATAATTAAGTCATATAATAGTACTGTTTATTTCAACATTTCATTACATTAATTTACAATGCACGTTCTATATTTAAGAATGTATAATTACGTTTGCAAGTAATTGTAGATAATTTGAAGACATCTAGATTTGATCTTAAAATATATATACGTTTAAGTGCAGTTAGTGTTTTGAACTTTATTGCATACGCAAAAATTTGTGCGAGTTGTATCGCATGTATACAACTGAACTCCTAACAATTCAGTTAATTTTGGAGAAGGAAAAGCCACACGTTTTCAAAGTGGATTTAAATAAACGTTTAAGAGAACAAATTTAGGTTGTTCTTAATACATGAAGTGATGACAAATTGACTTAGACTGTACCAATTACATGTGCTTCACAAGAAAGAAGTGCTAACTTCCAGTGCGAAAAAGTTGTGGGTTATTTGCCTAATTCCTACCCTAATTCGGTTTGTAAAAAAAACAATACTAAAAAATGCCAAGTTTCGTGCAGTAGTAGCCGACAACTGAAAATTAATTCCTGGCACTGTTTGCTCTGTGAACTTACTACTTGCTAGCTATGTACAATTGACCCTCTCATTTTTACGAACTTGGTCTTGTTCACAAATTCTTACATTTTCAATAACTAAATTTAAAGTTTGTGGAGTTTATTACTAGAGTCATATTGAGTCATGCGTGGCCCAGCACAATCAGCAACGCTGAACATCCTTTTTTACAATGTACACTAATAATAACAATATTGTAGTTTCCAATCAAGCATGCATAACTTTCAAATTACATGTGAATTCGGTTTTGACCTGGAAGATGTGCTAAAAACATGACTCTCACCCGATACAACGCACGAGGCCGTTGTCTCTCTTTAATATACTGTTACCCGTGACTTCAGGTCTCATTGAAGTTCACGAATTCCAAGTAGGTGGCGTCTCATGATCACTCTCCGACGGCCATGGCTCGTCTGAGCTGACAATGGCTGGAGGAAGAAACCAAGAGCACCATAAAACCACGTCTGTCTTGGCTTTATTTTTTGTTGCCTCCCCAGCTCAAGATTACTCATTAAACAAACTAATTCCAGAAAACGAAATCAGCGTTGACAATATTGTTAAACCATTAAAAATCTCATCCCATCGTTTTCGTTGTTGAACATGGTTGCATAAACACTTACTAGAAATTTGTAGTCACATTTTTCCATATTACTAAATACATAAAAGTGGTCATGTTGTCCAGTCTACTAATATATATATATATATATATATATATATATATATATATATATATACACACACACACATATTAATACACACACACACGGGCGCGCGCATACGTCCGCATTTGGACATGTTAGGCCATTCTTCAAGGTTTTTTTATCCACAAACAATGTTTCTAAGGGGGGCATAGTCCAAGTTAAAACTTTATGGGCCTCAACTTGTTTTCAAGCCGCTTTACTTGATTATGCTTATTGCCTAGCTAGGGCAAATTATGCCATTTTCTTGCCCATCTACATAAGCCTAAAGTAAAACAAATTGAAAGGAAAACGCGTGTTTATAAATTATGCATATGAGAATACACATTTTCCAACATAGTCAATTGTCTTTTTAAATAAATGAAATACTGAAACATAAAATAAATAAGTACTGGGGTGGGTGCACACGTACACAAAAACGTGTTTCGAATACTATTCATGTTTATCGCACATGGCGTTTAAAGAAAGACTTGTTTATAGACTTGAAGGAACGTGTACTTTGGTCATATCATAAAAAATATGTTTTTATATTGTCATTCTAGCAAATATGCAAATCAAACATAATGTTTCGTAATTATAAAATGTTAATCTAGCCCCGCGTCTTTTTGGAAAATCAATTTGCTCTTTAACATTTTTACTCTGTGATCACAGTTAAAACAAATGTTTTATTTCTGTCTGAGTAGTCTAAATGTAGAAACACGTACGCAAAATTTGGTAAAGATCTTAATATAGGGCTTAAATGCGTGGGTAAAAGCACGCTGTTTTCTTACGCCTACTGGCTGAAGATTTTTCCATGTTGAAAATAATTCTGAACTGATTATCGGAAAAGAAAGGCAAATATATGACTCTAAAAGACAATTGCATTTTAATTTCCCCACACAGCCATATCGTTATGTTCGATTTACTTTATTAGAGGGAGCTATCAATTAACAACATCTCTTGTGAATACAAATGTGCATATCGATGCGAAAGCCACTTTTTGTTTCTTCTTGGCATTTTATTTTTACTGGTTATAGAGAGTAAGAGCAACACGAGATTTAACAGAACAAATCTATAAACATTAGAAGCCATGGTAATACTAGTGATCAAGCGCGTTGTCTGTTAGGCATGCGGATGGGTTACAGCAATCCAAAGTGTCAACATAACCAACTGTGGTCCACACTGCATGCACACGTTCATCAATGAAAGGATCGCTCACTCCTCGACTTGAACATTTGCACATGTTGGCATACAATATTCTAAGAGGTACATGTCAATTTCTGCCCTTGGTCACATGACTGGCGCTCTCTGGAATGGATGGAGATGGATCTCCACGTCAGCTCACGTCTCAAAATTTCAGCTCGGCGGATCTGCTTCAAAGCCACTGAAGCTGAAGCAGCTCTGTACTACGATGCGAGGCAGTACTATGGTTGTGGATTGCCCAACCAAGTGTTATGATGGATTTTGATGAGCGGGTACCCGTTGGGTCCAACATGTATTTGCCCGGCTGTACTTATTACGTGTCTGGAACGGACTTTTCCAGCCTTCCTCCTTTTCTGCCCCAGACCCCGTCTTCTTGCCCCATGACATACTCATACTCCACGTCCAGTTTGCCACAAGTTCAGAGCGTAAGAGAGGTATCTTTCAGGGACTATGCTATTGACACGTCCAGTAAGTGGCACTCCAGGGGGAATCTGCCACACTGCTACGCGACCGAAGACATGGTGCACAGGGAGTGCCTGTCCAATCCAGGGACTTTGGGAGACATGCTATCGAAAAATAACTCGGTTCTCTACCACTCCAACTCGAGCCACACGTCCAACGTGTACGGCAGCGTGGGGAGGAACGGAGTGCTTCCTCAAGCCTTTGACCAGTTTTTCGAGACAGCATACGGGAACGTGGAAAATCAGCCGACTGAGCATCCGGTGGACAGAGCAACCAGCAAGGCGCCTCCACCCGCAGAATCGGGCAGCGACAGTTGTCGGGGAACAGATGAGACCGAGCGGTGTGAAGAGACAAGCAGCCCGGAGCCATCTTCCGGCAACAACGAAGATAAATTCAGCGGCAGCAGCAGTACGTATAAAAACAGTTGTGTAAGAAAGTTTCTGATGTAACGCGCTGTTGTTAAATGTTTTATATGCTGTTTTATAAGCATATAAGGTTTATAGAGGGCTCTGTATATTTACCCTAACAAAACTTTGTTATAAACGCGTGATCACGTGCTCGAAATTGAAATTGGCCGTGAATGATAGGCCATTTCCCTTTGAGTCTTCAAAAGTATGTGCATCCAGGCTTTATTACAGTTTGGGCTATTTGTGCATTTTGAGTGTTATTTAAGTGTTCATAGCTATGCTGTCCTCATTTATTGCCTCCGATGCAGGCACGTTGTACTCAAGGGAATTTAAAGTTTTGTATTATTCCGTTCTTTTTAAAATGTCAAATAATAAATTGTATTACTATTTATCATTTTTGGGTGAAAAGAAATATAGACGAAATTTCTGTATCCTTATTACTCAGCAAACGAGCATGGACCGATTTGTTTTTAAATAACTCGATCCTTCTTTTAAATAATAATAATTTAATGACTGAATGTGTTAGGCTATCCATAAATGACAGTTTATTTATTACAGTCACACTTCTATTAGGGCAGCAGTTTTTTTTTTTTTTTTTTTTTTTTTGTGGATAACTTTGAAAAATGGGAAACATTTGAATTAGGTGTATATTCAGTTGTCTCCGCTGCATGCACTTAAAGGCTTATTTCTGTGAAATTAGACTAAATCAGGGTAAAGGTTTTTGACAATTTTTCTTCTTTTCTTTTAGATGGACAAAAGACACGGAAAAAAAGGTGCCCTTACACGAAATATCAGATTAGAGAGCTGGAGAGAGAATTTTTCTTCAGTGTTTACATCAACAAAGAAAAAAGGCTACAGCTTTCCAGAATGCTCAACCTCACTGACCGTCAGGTCAAAATATGGTTTCAAAACAGAAGGATGAAAGAAAAAAAAATGAATAGAGACCGTCTGCAGTATTATACCACGAACCCTTTGCTTTAGATCGTCTATTCTTGAGACATCATTAAAGGCGAGATGGTTAATTTCAAGTTCGTGGATGCACATTCCGGCTCCCAGTGACTGTTGCGAGACGAGATGTGGCCTTCATTCCTTTGATAGACTTTTTCATCGATATAAACATAAATGTATATTCTCTGTAATCTTTGCATATTTAAATGCAAAATTATCATAATTATTATTATGCTATCATTTAGATTTTATCATCCTCCATTCAATTCACTTAAGTAATTATTCAGTTTACAGGGATTTAGTTTTTGTTGTTTTTATGAGCAATATCTGTAGACAACTTCTGGCTTTTGTGTCATACAGCAGCAATATAGGCAATTTTTAAAATCCATTACGGTGAGGGGAAATGTTTGCGAGGGTGAGATATAAATACAAATGAACAAGAATGTGGATTTTAATGTTACATGTTCTGAACGTGTTGTGTGTATATTATTAGAATATGTTCCTACTCATTCGATAACGCACATTATGAATATGGCTTAAGCTTTTTGGAAACGAATTGTATCATTCGCGCTATATTCTCTTATACTTGAACTGTGTGGACTTTAAATTGTATTTGATATAAGTTTCTTTACTGTGCATTGTCCAGTAAATTCAGGTGTCTCGACAACACGTGTGTTCAAAAATACAAAAAAAATGATGGAATTATTATTTATTATTAACGAATATTGGACATTTTCACAAAGCAATAACTGAACCAGCACGCAAACTGCTTTGTAATGCATTGTAATTTCTTTAAGGAATTCTGTTTCTCCATCTTTTCTCTAAAATGTGTGAAACTAAAACTCGATGTTGCAAAACCCATTCATGTTCATGATAATCTCTCGTGTTTATAACATCTCTTCAGTGTTATATAAATCAGTCTCTTGAAATATCTTGCGTTTTCTTTCTTTTTCCTGGAGTAGGATCAAATGTTTGATGGATCTTGCGTTATATTGCCTCCACGCGTTCTTTGATTCAAGGATCAAGTGTTTGCTGTTATTAATGCCTAGTATCCATTACGGAACTCCCCAAAACATGGCTGTGTATGTCCCCATGAATCAAATGTCCTTTCAACAAATTGTTCTTTGTCGACCTTCCAGATAAGTCTTCATATTATATTGCCATTTTGAAAGTGGTATGTACCATTCAGACAAACCTTGAATTAAACCAGAATAAAACAATTTTGTCTTGATCACGAAGAAAAGAAAGTATTTTGTTACTGCATAAAATTTTACAGTTTCTCTGTTTCGATGATCCATAGCGAGAAGGTCACAAATCTGAAATGGCTTATGCCACGCATAATTCTAATAAATAAGGGCGACCATAAGATAATAATGACTGTTTTACGTGATGACCCTGACGGTTTGCGCATCCTTTGAGGCTCGATGGAATTTCGCCCTAATTACGGCACATCCCCCCGTTGCTGCAGCAACTCAGTCATAAAACCTGTCTTAGTCTGGAGCATTTGTAGAATTGCAGTGAGGTGCCATAAACCGTCTGAGAACCAAGGTTATTAACTGTGACTAAGAGCTAGAAAACAACGGCTGGAACCATTGAAAGCTTGTGTTCACGGACTTTTCCGCCATCATTTGTCTCAGTGTCCCATCATGGCACCACGAATGGATTGCTCACTTATTCGCTGCTTTGGCAGTACAATTCATGTCCACTGGATGGCGCACTTTAGATCAATGTCATTGCCGGTATCTAAAATCTTTGCTAAAACATTTTTACTTTGAGTACGGGCAAAGGACAACGTCTTCGTTACTATACAAGTCACTGATTCAGGTAAATAGCCAAATTACCTTTTAGATATTTTTGTTAACACTGTAATTATGCATTATTATAGGCTATTAAGTTTTATATGACAATGGCAGTGGTGTTCACATCATAGTCTACATGTAAAGCTCGTTTAATGATTAAAATACGTTCATTAAAATGTGCTGCACTGATAATGATTTTATTAGCCCGAGAGGGATTGTGCGTTTCAGACAGTTGGTAAAGATTGTTTTAAAACCTGCGAGGAAGTAAAATTAGAGTAGACTGCTTGTTTTTAATGGCCTTTATGGCCTATAAGAGTGTTGTTTTTATTATAAGCAAAAGCCTATAAATATATAAGGAATTTCCGCACGTTGTAATATTTTCCTTATTTTTATTACCCAATTAATTTAAAATTCCACTTATATCAAACATTATCCGCAACAAGCCTATTCGATTTTCCTGACGCACAAGGTATAAAATAAATGCATCATATTCATTAAAACAAGAAAATGTGTTGGACGAAAAAAATGTAAATGGACGAAAATATACTTTCATTATTATAATTTAAATATTTACTTCGAAAAATTACCCGTTTATATTTATTTTTAAATTAAATGAAACTTGTAGCATGTCACTAAAATGCTTGTTTTCCATTTGTTACAATAAAAGCTCCCACTATCACCGTGAATCTCAAAATAATAATTAAACCAATTTGACCAATGAGGTTTACCATAAATGTTTTTGGATGTACTTTTTCCCAACAGTTATTTCGATTCGAGCCTTCATATACTGTAGTTGCAGTGCTCTCCAGTCGCTATTTAAATTCCATCTATTTTGATAACTGTGTTATCGAAATTTTATTTTTCAATTGGATGATTCATACTTTTGCGCCATATAATAGGCATATTTGTAAATATATAATTTAATATACCATTTGGTAAAAAGTTGCCAAAAAAACAAAACAAAAACAAACAAACAACAACAAAAAAACAATAAGCAGTACGTAAAAATTAACATCCAGCCACATTAGCCACGTGAGCTACAACAATAAAATAAAATGTAACCTAATCTAAAAGTAAACTAAGATAATATTTTATGTAATTGAATGTAAATCAAATGGCAAGAACAACGGCGGACAATACTTATACCACAATCTGCTTTTGAGATCTAATATTCAATGAACTTCAAAAGTATAGGCAAAAATGCATCACACAACAACTGCATCAAATTGTTAAAAAGAACTACATTATATATATATATATATGGACAGCATTATTTTACTATAAGCCCAGTTATAATTACAAATAGTATATGCCTATAAATTGTTTGACACTGTTACATGGTAATTTTTATGCACATTTACTTTACAGTATAGAAATCTGCATCCGCCACAGAAAAGGTTTCTGAAAAGCAGACTTAAAGCCGCTTCTCGTTTTGAACTTGAGTGTAGTAAATAAATTGTTTTGACTCTCCGCATGAATGAAAACCAGGAGAGCGGTCTGTAACTCACTGTTTATGTGCTTAAAGGGCTGTTGGGGCAATTACAGTGTATCATAAAGGTTTACTATTTTAGCACTTGATCTCCTTTTCGATACCTTGTTGCTTTTTGCTTTTAAATGGGCTACGTGTCTCACCAGGCTCTGCGGCTCAGTGACAAAGTGTGTTAAATGAAGTCAACAGTCGTAAACATAACGCTGTTCAAGTTAAATTCACTTTTTATCCGTTTATATTTCCAAAAGACCGATCGAGTTTATGTAGATTTGACTTTTTTAAAAAATGTAGTAGCTTGAAAAAAGATATGGGACACAAGGGTTACGTGCGCACAGAGGGAGGAGTCATCGGTGCTCGTTGCGATTTAATTGGCTGTTAGCTCACACTGAGTTGTATAGTTATCAGTAATTATATTCAGAATGTTTTGCACAAGAAATGTCATCCAGAAAGGGCAATCTTCTTCCACCGTCAAATTATACCACAAAGATGTCATGCTCCGATAGTCCATCTGGAAATTCGTTTTTGGTAGATTCTTTGATCCACGGAAGGTCCGAGGGAAGTGGACACTACTACCAAAACAGCGGAGTTTACTTGCAGCCGACCTCCGAATATTCTTATGGACTGTCTAACTGTGGCTATTTTTCGGGACTCAAGCGGAACGAGAGCAACTCGCAAAATGTAGTACCTACATGTGGTCCATATCAAGGCATGGAAACATGGTTGGAGACGTCGAGGTCCTGTCGCATTGAACAGCCTAACAACCAAATTACCCCACGGTCGTTCTCGCCCACCATAAAAGAGGAAAACTCTTACTGCTTATATGAGTCTGAGAAGTGCCCAAAAGAAACCATTACAGAGGATATATCGTACTCGCGGCTGACACCAAACTCATGTCCATCTAGCAACAATAACGGCTGTGTTCCGGTGCCCGGTTACTTCCGTCTGTCTCAGACATGCACCACATCTAAGGGTTTTACAGACAACCAGACTATACCGACTCATGTAGTGGCTCAACGTTCAACTCGATTTGACAGCTCTCTTTCAGCTATAGCAGCCGAAGCAAGCCGGGACGAGAGCGACGAGCCCCCCACATGCGCACCATGTGCCCCGGGAAGAAACAAGGAGCTAAGGGGGTCCACTGGCACCGCTTCATCTCCAGAACCACCGGACAGCCCGGAGAAGGCGGTCACTGTAACTAAAGGTTAGTTCTGTAGCTCGTTCATTAAGTCCATAAGATCTTCATTTTGGCTTCTTGAAACATTAGCGCCATTGAGCGCGCAATAAACCAAATTTGGATGTTTTGATAATTTTGCATACTGTTTTGCAGTAACATTTAAATTTTGTTATGATTTTAAACACCCATATGGTATTCGATTGGCGTTAGCAGCACAATCATGTGCGAAATTCTTTTAATTTTTTACATACATTTCTGAGAAGGTGCAGCACGCCCAAATCAGTCCCCTTTGATCCTGTGCACAACATTCCTTTAAGCCAAATGCAATTTACTTTAATCTTCATTCATGTTTTAAAGTTCACATTTTGTTTGATTATGCCTATTTTTTTGCTATTGCTAAACAAACTAAATTTAAAAAAGGACATTTCATATTTGGTTAATATGTAATCACACTCAGTCCAAAAAAAAAAAGTAATTTGTGTCAAACAGCAATGCTGATAGCAATAACATGCTTTAGGCTACTTGAAGTATTTTCAAAACGTTTAAATTGTTACATTTAAAAATAATAAAATAAAGCAAAGAAGGCCTATTCCCCACGACTTCGCAATGATTTCACTATTACTTACTTAGTGGTATCCTTATTTCTTTATAATTTTTAAAGAATCCTTTCCTTATTCTTATATTAATCTAATTTTTAATTATGACTTTTTATTACACGTTGAGATCTGTAATCATCTCATCTAAATTGTCATAAGATATCTTCTGAAGGCAAAATGATAAGGTTTAATTGTATAATACCTGTAAACAGAACAATTAAGGTAATCTTCAAAACACAAGAAACGACTAGTAAAGCGTCCTATATGAGCAATTATAAGGTAATAGTACCAATGAAAAACAAAATAATGGATAAAATCCATTTGAACTATAAGAATAATAGACAAAATGCAATCGTTAAATCTTAAATCAACATGTCCTAATATTGCTGCACACAGTAGTATAACAAGGATCTTTGTGTATAAAAACGTTTGTTAGGTTGTATTTACGTAAATGTAATAGGCTGTTGTGTAATTTATTTCATGTTGCACTTCTACTGCTATATTTTATTAATATTATTTAATTACAAAAACATAAAATATGCATAATATAAGTGGTCGTTGTAAACCGTTACATTCATTTATATGTTCTTAAAATTTCAGCAGGAGATTCCAAAAGTGAGAGTACAGCTAACTGGCTGACGGCGAAGAGTGGCCGCAAGAAGCGTTGCCCTTACACCAAACATCAGACATTAGAGCTGGAGAAGGAGTTTCTCTTCAACATGTACTTGACACGAGAACGTCGCCTCGAGATTAGCCGCAGTGTTCACCTCACAGACAGACAAGTCAAAATATGGTTTCAAAACCGACGGATGAAGCTGAAGAAGATGAGTAGAGAAAACCGAATCCGCGAGTTGTCAGCCAACTTCAGTTTTTCATGAAGCGTCTAGCTTTATAGATCTCTGGCGCCCTCCTCCATCAGCTGCAGTGGTAGTCTACTTGCATCCAACCGTCTACGTAGATGTGTGCATATATGACTTGTGCAAGATACTATTGATAACTTATTGTGTGTCGTATACTGTTGACGTTTTTATATGTTTATGTATAATTTTATTTGACAACCCAGTCGTCATAACATGTCATGGTTATTTATAAACTGTCAAGAGCACTTCACTGTAAAGCAAGAGAGGAAAATATCGAATGCTAAAGGTGTTCATTGTACATAGCATTCTGATTATATTGTACATTTATTGTATATAAATGCGATATTTGCATGTTGTAATAATAACTATTATGAATCGATTTTTAAATAATAACGTTTGTTTATAAGTACGACCTTGTCATGTATTTGCTGTTCTGGGCATAATTGGAGGAGTCCAATTCTTTAAAATGTAGAAATGTGTATAATTGCAGACACGACGGAATTCCTGTATTAGACTATTACCAGCATCCAAATGTACCATCTTTCTGGAAATACAGGCCGAGAAGATGGACTCGGGTGTAAAATAAATATACGTGACAGAAAATAAATAAAGGCATGTACATGAAAATCATCATAACCACTTTTAAAACACGGTTCTTGAAGTTTTAACCACTGCTCAATTTGTTATTATTCTTTATTACAAATATTTTGTAGTAGTAATGACTGTAATTATACTGACTGTAAAATCTGGTGATTTATAATTCTCCCTATAAAGACAGTATGCTACCTGGTGCCGTGAAGAATCGCACAAAAATATTCCAGTTATTAAACTCTTATATATTCGATTTCAAATTTAATTACTTTTACAATAAGGTGTATATTCAAGAAAAAAAAACGTTTTTTGAGATTGCTAAGGTCAAAGCAGAAAAAACATATCTCAATGTAGCCTACTTGTTTGCTTGTGCAACACACAATGTCGAGAAAATAAATCGATAAAAAAACAGCGTTGCCTTATCTTCTCAACCAAGAAACAAAGACAACTGCTAAGTGATTTAGGTAGTTTTATGTTGTTGGGCTCTATTTTATATCCCCGCAACACGAAACTGTCTTAATTGCCTCGCAGTGAGATTCAGCACAACAAGACAAATATGTTGCGGCTAAGTCGGAAGAGTTCAAAGAAGCATGTTCTTAATCAAAAATGTAAAAGAAAATCACCGTCTATTTTCAGCAAGACTTAATATACTAACTTCCTAATATTAATACACGTGCTGCACTGCTGAACTGAAATATTGGTGAAATAGAAATAGAGCTGCATAAAAAGTACTGCGAATTAGTGCAGGTGCAGATAGCAAGGCCTCGGTTACGATCAATGCACTTTGGCCAAAGCCGCGTGCGCATCTGAGTCTGAGAGCACGCCCACATTGCCGGATGCGTCTGCTGGGCCGGAGAAAAAAATACAAAAGGCTTTATTGGCCATATTCAAGCCAGACAGCCAAGTTACAACCCGAAGAAAAACAGAGTAATAGCCCCTGTTATAAACGAAGTCTGTTGAAGTGCCCAGAGATCCACTCTTCTGAGAACAAGAACATAGCAATTGCTCATTGACCAGACGGAAGAAAAAGTTTCTGGTCGTCCACGGTTGTCTTCCATTATCAGCGGATAGGGCTAAAAAACATTTTAGCCTTTTATTTTTTCAGTATTAAATATACAAACATCTTCTAAAAGAACAACATGATATAAAGCTTATACTGTAAATAAATTAAACTACAATGTTTGTCATTTTCAAACCCTATTTAAATTGTTCATATTTTAAGTTCTTTGTGTACTAAAATAGATCATTGTTACGTTTTTATGTCGTTAGTGTTTCTGGAACGTTTATGCTTAAATTTTGTAAGTACAAACATAGAATATTTATCTAATCATGAAGCATTCGATTTTACCGAATTTGTGAGATATTGTAAGGACAAACATTTCTGCTATATATTAGCTTAAGAAAATGATATATCGCAATATTATTTCGTAATAAAATTTCCAAGCATATCCTACGTAAAAATATAAACATATATGATGTATTTATCAAACTATTACTTTATTAACCTGAAAGGTTTAATTATTTCAATTGTTGTAACATTTTGTTTTGATGCGTAAATCTGCGTAAAATGTAACACGAGCTGTCCATTGTGGGGGCCTATCTGCGTTGTTTTGACTTATTTACAGTTAGATTTGATTCATAACCAAGCGCTTAGTTCACGTTCAGATTCAGTTAACTTGTCTTCACATCACATTGTGCCTTGCTTTGAGTAGCAGACTGAGGTTTGAACGCGTTACTGAATGACTGGTCACTTAGCAGGTCATATCTCAACCATTCAGTGGCACTTATTGCCATATAAAGTATACATATGGCTCACGTAAAGATCCGTTTTATGTCTGAACTATTTTATGTCTTCGTGTGGTGCACTAAGCCGTGTGCAATATTTCTATAGAAAATAAAAATAAGTAAAAACATATTTAAAAATATAAATATAAAATATAGAAATAAATAAAAATATATATAACACATATAAAACGTGTGAAAATATGTAGAAAAAATAAACGTGTAAATGGGTAGGTGATGACGATTAGAAAGTTGTGAACAGTGAAGTGACACTGTATTTACGCATTTGGAAATACATTTGCAAAACTAGGTCTACAAAAAGTTGGATAGGGAAATTTGCTTCTCAAATAGCCATTTTTGTTACGCTTGGTTATTAGATGCCGAAGCTTAACAACATGGATAAAAATCAAACACACCTTCATAAAAGCGTATGACTCTACCGTTAAAAATATGACTTGTAAAATGGAGGCCATTTAACCGTGAGCACTGGCTAGGCTTTCCCCTTTATCTCCCACGTTCTCTCCCACAGTCACGTGCCTAGCACACCCAATCCAATCTCTGCAGTGATTCAACTTATCAGAGGTCTGTAGTTCACAGCGAAGTCAAGTAGTTAGTTACTTGATTTCAACGGATTCTGCTTTTGAGTCAGTTTCATTGTGGGTGTATCCGTCCGGCTGCTCTCTCTTTACTTGTTTTTGTTATGTCGACATTGGGAACACTAAGTTACTACGCTGACTCACACATTCCACACGAGAATGACGATCATTTGGCACCGAGGTTCTCATCTGGACCCGTGGTCCAGCAGCAGTCTCGTGAACTGACGCTACTTGAATATGGCGAACAAGAGCCCTATACTTTCCAGGCCAAATCATCCATTTTTGGTGCGTCGTGGAGTCCCGTGCAGCCCACAGGCGCATCTATCGCCTACCACCCATACATTCATCACCCATGTTCAACAGGAGACAGCGATGGAGCATCCGTGCGTCCCTGGGCGTTAGAACCGCTGCCTGCACTGCCATTCACGGGATTATCCACAGATACGCATCAAGATATAAAACTTGAACCATTGGTTGGGAGTGGTGAGTGCACGACTCATACACTTCTTGTGGCTGAGACAGACAACAATACGACGCAAACGGAGAGGAAGGTACCAGACGATGCTGTTTCCAACGGATCACATGATGAGAAAATTCCTGCGGAGACGAAGCTAGATCTAGACCCAAGTAAGTGCAACTAAGGTTAAACCAGAATGTGCATTCAAACGTTCTGGACAGGCTTTGGCTACTTTTGCGTTAACGCATTAATCCTGTCCGATTAAAATTATTTTGCATTAGGGCTAGTTTTGTGAGAAATTTATTTAATTGACTATACTTTCGTATACCTATATTACACATTATTTGGTAGTAGGCTGAAGGATAAGGCCTTTATTTTTTCATTATGTGGGTGGCAATAATCTGCATTTGCAACAGGCAAACATGCCGGTCTCAATGTAAAGTGTAGATTATTTAAAACGGTTTGTATAAAAAGCATAACAGCCTACATTACTGTGTGACTGCATGCCATATGTTCAATGCTTCCTTAACGTGCTGCACTAAATTGAACGCTTGGTTTAGAACGCATTCGATTAAATTGCATATTAAATGTGTGCATAAGATCACAATTGTCGTTAGTAGACACACAATCTAAATATTTGAGCATGTTTTCATAAAGACAGTAAGGCCCTTGTTTATCCCCCATTCAAGGGTGCCAAAATTGTCAGCAGCAGGAAAATAAATGCCTGCACATAAAATTTTCGATCATATAAACCATACCCACAGCATGGACTCGCATAATACTTGATTTTAAATTCTAGTTTCTGCAGATTCAAGATTCCAGTCGGTAGCCTGTTTATGTTAGACTCCTCTTTCCTTCGCTCTCAGATCATAAAATGGCCGCAGTTTTTTTAAGCAGCAACATGACTAGCTCTCTCTCTCTTTCTCCGACCCTTCTTGCAGATAACCCTTCGTCCAACTGGCTGCATGCGAAGTCCACTAGGAAAAAGCGGTGTCCGTACACTAAGCACCAAACACTCGAGCTGGAAAAAGAATTTCTGTTTAATATGTACCTCTCTCGCGACCGTAGATATGAAGTGGCAAGACTCCTAAATCTCACCGAGAGACAAGTCAAAATTTGGTTCCAAAACCGTAGGATGAAGATGAAGAAATGCAATAAAGATCGCCCAAAAGACATTTAAAAAGAGGAAAGCTGTACCCGCGCACTGCAGTTGGAAGAAATTGTTTGTGAATTAGCCAGTCTTTTGCCTCATGCACAACCACATTTTATCATTATAGATAGCCTACATTTTGTATTGTTAGATGTACATTGCACAAACATTTGATCTGAGAGAATGCTTGTATATATGATTATGTTTTGTATACAGCCTGTTGTTGATTCCTCTCATTTGGATTGCTTGTTGTAGGTCTAATTTCGTATTGTAAATGTTTAGTTTGTTGTTAAAGTTTTTAAATGTACTTAATGATTTCAGGGAAATAGGTTCTGCGATATGAAAAGTTGATGATATGCATGAATTTTAATGATTATTATTTTTAATTTTCAAACTTAGGCTATCTTGTAGTGTAATGTATAAATGTTTATTGTGACTACCTAGATGTATTTGAACTACCTATGTATTAAGATGAATTAATTTATGCTGTGTTGTTCGTCATCGAAATATTTCATTGAATTTTGTAACATATATGCTTGTAATGTTATATGCATACGCCAATACCTCAAATCAACAGTGTTAGTCGTTTTCAAATGAAATATCACTTCTGTAAATAACAAATAAATTTCTGATAAACACTACTTTTTTTTTGTTTAGACTCTTTATGCCAAAAGCCTTGGCAAATTTATTATTATAATAGGCTAGCCTACTGCGTTTCATGAGTTAAAATCATGGCTAACGAAGTGCTAATCTGCATCGATATTGCAATAACACTAATAATTGCAGTCATGCATTTTCGTGTTATGCAGCACATAGAGTTCCAAACTCATTAAATAATATACATAAATAAATCGTCCCTGAACGAGGTTGAGAATGACTGCAATGTCGTGCTATTTTTACCCAATACAACGAAAATATTTTACCACCTTCCAAACAGTTTCACACAACTCGCGCTCATTCTACCGTTGTCTTGCAACCCATGGTTTAGTGTTCTGTTAAAGGACCGGATGCTGTTTATCCGATTAAACAAACCTTAGTTTGATGCCTGCACATTCTATTTGTGCCTCGGCCATGCAAGCGATATTAGTGGCCGTGCGGCAATAAAACACAATCACAGTCTTAACTGTTTATAGGGTGCAAAGCGTTTGAGGGCGGAACTGAAATGACTTTTTGGAGTCCCCACGCCTATATCAATATAATTACAATAATATTTCAACATAGTTCACAAAGTATTTTTAGTAATTAGTTAGTAGTTTTCTTTTAAGTATTATTATTTTATTGTTAATACAACTACAACTACTACTACCACTACTACTACAACTAATAATAATAATAACAACAATAATAATATTAACATCAGAAGTATTTCTGGTATAAATATATTTTCTATTTTTATACTATATTAACAAAAGAGGAAGAAAAATAAAAAGCTATCGCTCGATCTACAAAGGCCCTACACCAGACAGCATCGTAAAATGGGGCTCAGCCTGGCCACACTGTCTGTTTTTTTCTCTGCAAATTACTTTATTACACCTCGGTAACAATTAGAACGTTGCAGAACCGAACACGCATTTGTTGCTTCTTCATGCATGCACTCAAAATGACAACAAACATTTTTTATATATTGATATTTTTTTCTTGTTTTGACTTTTAAAACGTAATCACGCTAAACAATATAGAAAATTAAAAATGAAATGTTTAGTAAATATTTCATAATTCGTGTAGGTTGATGACAAATCAAAACAGAGATTTTAATTTCTATGGGTGCATCAAAAGGCACATTCATATCCGCCTTGTGTTATCCCTCAACGCAACGTTTGTGTGTCTCCCTTATTTAACTCACCTAATTAATCAGAGAATCAGCTCGTTAATAAAGCCTTAATTAACTATATTTGGAGTGTCAAATTAGCCAGACAGCCAAATTGGCCAGTGATGCAGGGCCTTATCGAGTAGAACATAGAAACATTAATTTGTATTATTTTTAACAAACAAACGGAGCCTCTCTACCATGAAGACTACCTAGTCACTACCTCTAGTATCCAGCAGATGGTGGCAGCGTTTTGTTTGAAATTATTAATTCAAGACGGTTTCCAATCACCAACCCTGCTTAAAAGGGATAGCTGCCCCAAGAATAAAAAATGGCACATCAATGACTGCACGGATGCATCTTTGAAAAAAACGGCTTTTATATTTTGGCATTTAAAAAGAAGAAAAACAAATGTAGGAAGGCGAGTAAATGTTGAACAATTAAATTTTTTTGGGGTAAACTATGCATTTAACAAGAACCAGACAGGAACAAGACTCATTAACTATTTCAAATGTTTCACCTAATGTGTCAATAATGCTTAACAGGAACATACTGTATGTCAGTATATCCTAAAAAGGGTCTTCATCAACTCTATCATGTAGAATGCATATACAGTATCAAGCTGATTTAAAATTTCATTAGGATTTTAATGCCAAACATCTAATTTATTCTTTGTATCAAACATTAAACCGTGCATTACTGGATGATACTTTGGAAACATGTATATTAAACATTGTATACCTTATAGTATCTATAGTTGCATACAATATCTATATAATTACAGAATAATAAAACTTATTTGCCAACATGCCATCATCCCACAACATTCCTTAAAAAGATAGTTCACCCAAAAATAAAAATTATGTCATTATTTACTCATTCTCGACTTGCTCAAGAATGTTTTCTTCTATTGAACACAAAGAAAGATACTGAAAAATGCTGGGAAAAACAGCCACTGAGTTCCAGTATTTTTGTTCCTATAGATGCCAATGGCTGTTAAGAAAACATCCTTCAGAATATCTTGTTTTGTGTTAAACCGAATAAATGAATTCATAACTGTTTAGAATCATGTCTAAACCGATGTTTGGATTGCAAGTAGACAGAGGAAATTTACAATTTTCATTGAATTAAGAACTAACTTATGATCTGTTATAATCTCAGAAAAAAAAGGCACTTGGTTGTACAAATAATGTTCCTTAAGGAACAGTTTTGTACCTTTGTAAAAGTTGTACCTTATATGGTACAGAAAAGACCTCTTATGATACTGTTCTGTACCTTTTATGGTACAACTGAAATTAAGGTACACAATTGTTCTCATAAAAAGGTACATAAGTGTTAGACAACACCTTCTTCATAACAATGCATATGAAAAGAAACTGGAAAAGCAAAGGGATTTTATGAATAATGTCCATATTAAAACATGAATCATCATTTAAAAGCATATGTTTAAAGAAACTCATAAACATTATTTATTAAGTTTTATAATACAAAACAACTGGTAAAACAACTATAGGTATTGTAAACATTTAAGGCATTTTAATACACATTTGGTAAGTATTTTATGCACTGAAAACCCTAATAAGTTGACTGAACTAAATTAATTGAGTATTGGAGTCTCCAAAAACCTGCATATTTGAGTTTATTTAACTTGCCGATTTTGAAATTGTTCAGTTCACCAAACTTAGTTCTAAGTTTAGTGAATTTGGAACTTTGCTTAAGGTAAACATAAAAAACTATGAAACTTTGAAAAAAATTTTAAATAAATTTTAAACAAAAAATAAGTAGCCATTTACTCACATTATGATGAATAATTATACCTGAAGCCATTTATTTCTGATTTTAAAAAGACCTTGCACTTATAAGGTTGCACATATTAGAATTTTACAGTCAAGACTACATTTGTAAAAAATTACCTATTTTTTTAAAGATTAATTATGATTGTGAGCTTACTACACTTGAAATCCTCAGTTTATGCAATTTCATGCTACATTAGTTAAATTTTTAATTTTACACTTATTTTAAGTGATAGGACCAAAACGCAAAATTTTCAAGTTATGTTCAGCAAACTTTACTTAATTGTTTAAGTAAATACAACATTAGGGTTTACAGTGTGATAAATACATTTTAATTATTGATATGCACCATCAATTTGCTTTCCACTAAGCACGTGAACTTGCAAAACATGCATAGTGTTCATGCCGGCATTTTAGTATTTTAAAGCTAATCAAACATTGTGCATTTCTCATTACAATACTACAATGCAAAAATCTTTTTCTAAGTGTTTTTGAGTGTATGCAAAAATACATAAAACATAAAAATAATAACATATAAGAATGGAAAAATATTGTAACTGGTTTAAAATTTCAATTAAGTGCACATTACACTTCACAATTCCAAATTTCAAATGTACAGTTTAAATTGTAATTGACTTTACATGTAAAATTTACAATGTAATTTCACAATGTAATTTAATATTAACATTTTACTATGCCTTCATATAGTTCATATTGAGTCAAAGATCATGGTGGAGAGAGAAGAGCATTTTAGTAGCACCTTACGGTCTTTTAAGTAGTTTGGGCCCTTGTTAATTCATGAGTGCTTATATGTGTTAGCCTACATAGGCCTATGAAATAATGCTTTTAGGGAAAACCAGACAGTTGTTTATAGTCCTTTTCCTCTTTCACTAAAAATGTTAGGCTAAAATCCATTCATTACATATGCTGTCTATGATATGTCGAACTTATTATCGAGCTATAGATATGTACTGATACATAAGATCATAAGATTTTACTTTTCTCAACACACACACACACACACACACACACACACACACACACACACACACACACACACACAAACACACACACTTCCTGATCACTCAACTAGGTTATTTACAAATGTAATTTACAAAAACCACAATGCAAATTAGGTTACTAGAGTAGAACATTGTATTTGCAAAATGAAATCATGCATCAAATAATATTCTACATGAAAGCTAAGTGAAACTTTTAATCTCAAACATGATATCTGCAGTTCATCTTTTTAACTTAACTTCTGAGTTGCATTACAAAGAATGTTTATTCATTTATTCATTCTTTCGGCTTAGTCTCTTTATTCAACAGGGGTCGCCACGGCGGAATGAACCGCCAACTTGTCTAGCATGTTTTACACAGCGGATGCCCTTCCAGCAGCAACCCATCACTGGGAAACACCCATACACACATTCATACACCTGTACTGCATGTCATTGGATTGTGCGGGAAACCGAAGCATCTGGAGGAAACCCACACGAACACGGGGCAGAACATGCAAACTCCACACAGAAATGTATGCTGACCCACCAGGGACTCGAACCAGCAACCTTTTTGGTGAGAGGCGATTATGCTACCCACTGCACCATGTTGCCCTTGAATGTTTATTCTCAACATTAAATTGACTGAATAAACTGATGAAAGATAAACAGATGTAACACACATTGTTCATCATTAACTTGGCAGTTATTATTCAGTTGTATTGCTGTGAATGAAAAAAAAAATAAAAAAAATAAACAGATGCACATAGCAGGAGGACAAAAATCAAACAGAGAACTGAGAACTACTCCATTTTAAATTATATACATGACAATCTAGATTAAAGTCTAAGCACTTTAAGATGGAATCAAGTGTATTAGCTGTCATTCAGCAGACTAAAAGCCACCTGAACAGATTTAAACCTTTCATAGTCTTGACACGAGAAAAATTATTTTATTTATATTCATTGCATTTAGCAGAAAGGTGGCGGTGTTGAGCCTTTACTTGCTGTATAGGCCACCGATTTTGTTTATTGCAAAAAATAATAATTATTAATAAACAAATAAATAAATAAATAATCCCAACGAAAATTTACAACAAATGCTTTACTACTAATTTCTATTTTTTCTATACACTAAAACGCTGGGTTGTTTGAGGCCAAATTTTGGTCTAATATGGTCTCATACCATATAGATTAAGATCGTAAATTTAAATAATTGTAAAAATGTTATTCGACGTTAATCTTACAAAGAAATGTTGGGTTACTTAAACCCAAATTGTTTAAATTTGGACTAACCCAAAAAAATGGGTTGGATATGATTATATTAATTTTATTTTAAAAAGATTAACCTATCAGTTGTGTTAGTACCTAATATACCCAGAATTGTGTTGTAATAACCCAATATAGTGTACCCAAATCTGTTATGAAACACCCCAGCATTTGTTACCCCGGCTCTGAGTCACAAACATTCTATATATTGATTTAGTTTCTGCAAGTAGGCCGCCTTGCCAACATTTTTAGTTATTTTGGAAAACTATTTTCCGAAGAGAAATCCTGAAACAAAAAGAACATTGTCATAAGAAATAATAACTAATAGCTCCTAAATGTGGCATTTTATTTCCGATGAGTATCCTACAGAAACATATAAATGCTATTACAAACACATTTATAATAACAGCCTATTGCTGCTGAATATAATCCATCATGTATTGTCTTCTCTTAATGCAAATGACATATGCTGTGCTCTAAAAGATCAGACTTGGTCAAGCTACTCAATCCGTGTAACTCTAGAGCTGTCCATTAGATCACATAACACTGATAATTTACAGTCATTTACTCACAACTTTTCAGAGAGGTAAAAGAGCTGCCAAGTAAGTAACCCATGCGTTTTTACTTATTTTTCTTCGTCATATCAGAAATTTATGCAAAGAACGCCGTTGTGAACATATTACCATTTATTGTTTTAAATTATTGTTGCGTGTCAAATAGAATACAAAACTGATTGATGGGTTCTTAAATGTACAGTAGCCTAACCAAAAAAAATACGATTTATATGGCATCCCTACAAAGAATTGTAAGTCCAATCCTTTACAATACCCTAGACACTGGTTGTTGACTTACCAAGTTATCCTGTTTTAATTACATGTTTCAGCATCAAGAGGTTAAACAATAAATTATTACATTTGTGTTAACACCAGGCAAGTCAAGGGATATTTTCTCAGAACGTCATATCCTGCATAATTCTGCATAATTCTCCTCTCGAGCAGGAGTATAGTGCATATGCCCGGAAATGACATACACCTCCAGAACAACAAAAGAAGCTTGGATCTCGTTTACGACCGAGTGCAATGTGTGTGGGTAGAGGGTCATCCATCAAACGCCACTGTTGCAAGAGCTACTGCCGCTGCTGCCTTCGCAGACATCATAAACACCCCATATACGCCTCGCACTAATTTACAAAGCACACTGTGAGGGATACACACTGATCAATCCTGGCTTTTTTACACAAACGAATGGCTTCAGAAAGTATTCACAGTATTCTAAGACGATGATCTTTCAGCTGAACATATATCATGTACATAATGCATTAGCTATTTGGAGAGATATTGTGGAATAATTGAGTTAGCAATCCTAACTTTATTCGATCATCAGATGTAATAGGGTATTAAACAGGTATCTGAATGCAAGTAAAGCATCTGAATTTTATTAACAAACAAAAAAAAAAAAACTAATTAATTCGTCTACAAATAAAAAGACGACTACAAAGAGAAAAAATCTAATTACAATTCGAAAGAAAAAAAACAGTCTTACAAACTGGGGTAATTTTAATTCATAAAATGAAACGCAGTACATTGCTATTAACACTAATATTAATGATGACAATAAAGGCTGATAGTAATATTGATAATAATAAAAAGTAATATTAATAATAATAATAATTATTATTATTGTTGTTGTTGTTGTTATTATTATTATTATATTGTTACTATTAGGGTATTATTAAACAGATTTCTATTTATTTTATATTATTCCACTATTAGGTCTATTATTATTATTATTAGCATAATAAGTAATATGGCTTAATGTAAAAGTAGTAGAAGACTTGATGCGTAATAAACTTAATACGTTTATACTTATCTATATAATGTAGCCTATAGCATATACTGCACCAATTAATGCGTTCGCTTTCAATGTAGCACATTGATCGCTTCATTTGTTTGCCGATTCGACAGGCCAAGTTTTCACTTTTAACTTGCGTTTTAAGACCGTCAGAATTCATTATTTATTTTAACAGACGGTCAGCGGGGCTGTCTGTTGTGCCAGACGCACCCCAAAAAATGCTGGAACACCTACTCAGCACGTGGAAGAAAAAGCTGCAAAATTGCCAAATAATGAGATAATTATTAAATTCATAACTTAAAACTAAATATTTCCTTAGTGTATCCCGACTTGTCCTTAAACGCCACTTTTAAAATTGAAGATGTTTTTCTTTCTTGTACTATTTACTCGCGCATTAAAATGTCAAAATGTTTTTCTTTATACACACACTGATTGTACAGACTTTTGCTTATATTCGACCTGCATTAATTTAAATCAAGGTGACTGACAACAACCGAAAAAAAATTAAAACGCCCTTGTAAATGTTACTTTAACATAGGAAAACATCCAATACACTCTTGACAATTATCCACAATTTGACAAACATAAAAACACAATTCAGATTCTGTAATATCAGAACATGAACTCGAATACATTTTGCATTCATGTGCATGCATTCATACATTTGCAACGTCGTCGGGAATGTACAGCTCAACTGCAATTTTCCATAAAATAAAAAAGTTTAATTCAAAACACTGCAATATAATTTACATATCCAAAAAAAACATATCTGATTAGAATACATACAATGCATTATACATATTATTCAATATTTTAACGTATAGATTAATAAATAACTAATATAACATTTAACAGTACATGTAAAGATACATCCTTGTTTGATTTCGATGTTCAGTTCGTGGGAAAAAAAAAGATGATTTTTCGTTCGTAGTAGAAATGTGTAGGAAGTAGTAGGCATTTTTAAAGAATGCCGACACCCACGTTCTTCTTTACACAATAGCTCCTGTGTAGCTGACAAAAACACGTTTTTCCTCTTACAATCAATATATAATCCTATTTATTCCCAACCCTTCGATAAAGGCTGACTTTCCAAAAAACGAAAATATAACACAAATAATGTTTGGTCCGAGAAAATCCTCCTTTCGAAGCACATCCGATATGAAATTATGATCAAGGTCAATCCCATAATCGAGAAATATCACTTCTAAATATAAAATGTATAAAATGAACAAACTCTTAACCATGAGTACGTTGTTCTCTTCTTCCTGGCCACATATGATCTAAGGGAGTGTTAGATGGTTTAAATGTGTTCTTAGGGCACTAAGCTGTCAGACCTTTTGGCGTGTAAGATTGATAGCGTGCAGGCTTCCAGGGCTCTTTGTTTGGAATATAAGCAATAAAGTGCTCGAGGCCTACACCTACTTAGCTAAAGACGACTAAGGGCAACACAGAAGACACATTCTTGAACATACAAATAACTATTTGATTTTTTTTTTTATCTCACATTAAAAACTTAATGTGTTTGCCAGTGACACTGTTGAAGGCTAATTGTAATCAGTTCAAATAAAATATGCACAGCCTCATTTACAATAAACACAATTATATTATTTAAACGTTTTATATTTGATATATTATTTTCCCTTTTGATGACCTTATGTTTTCTTAAATTCTACATTGGATATCAACATTTAAGTTTAATAACGGTATAGAGATTAAATGTATAACATACAGAAACTATCTACGAATAAAACTCAGGTTTTTAAAACTTACAATATCTAAATAATAAGCAATAAATATAAAGAAGTAATACATTTAAGTATAACGCGTCAGTGCGCGTGTGAACGCGAGCGCGTCAAGGCTTTGAAAGAATTTGTCTACGCGCAATGTGTGCGCGCTTAATCTCTCACGCGCTTTTGCTCGTGCATTTACAAGAGGGAGCGCGCATTGCCTAAGAAAGTAGTAAAAACCCAGACTCGGGATTAATGGGATTCCTCGATCGTAGCTATTGGTGTGTTTTATGTGAACAGTTGATGTGTTGTGGGATCTCCTGCCGAGGACCGTTAAATATGAAGAAAACAGCAGACGGACTCACTGTCACTCTTTTCAGGTACTGGCTATACATGTAATCTACGGAGCGAGCAGCGGGCAAACTGACCATAAATGCGTAAATAAACTAGCCCGTCCCAGAGAGTGAGGCGTTCCTCTCGGACTTTTTTCGATCAATCACACAGACAGTGGCTTCTTTTGATTAAACCCCAAATTGTCATTGGACAGAGGTAATCATGTGACAAGCAATACGGTCCAATTTCAACCTTGTCTCCATGAAAGCAATAGTTTAATGGCACCGCGGTCCCCATACGGCCGTAATCAGCAAAATAGTTTTTTTTTTAACCCGGCACGATATTTCATTATATCTTCCTTGAGTCACAAATTTGAGAGCGGCGAATTTGCAAGACTTGGAGGAGATGAATTACGAATTCGAGCGAGAGACGGGTTTTATCAATAGTCAGCCGTCGCTCGCTGAGTGCCTGACATCTTTTCCCCCTGTCGGTGATGCATTTCAAAGTTCATCAATCAAGAGCTCGACGCTTTCACACTCGACACTGATTCCTCCTCCTTTTGAGCAGACCATTCCAAGCCTGAACCCCGGCAGCCACCCTCGCCACAGCCGGCCCAAGCAGAACCCTAATGGCTCATGCCCGCTGCCTGCCGCATCCTTACCCCCAGAGTACCCTTGGATGAAGGAGAAAAAAGCATCCAAGAAAAACCAGACAACTTCGACAGCGGCAACCACCGACCCTGGTCCACTATACTTCTCCCCTCAAGGTATTTGGATTTTTAAATAATGTTATTATTTTATATTTGACTCCAAACAAAACGCACGTTTATACTGTAACAATAATTATTTTCAGTAGGCTACCTGCGTTGCGCGGTGCCATGCTGCTGAAAGTGCAAGGTAGTTTGTTATTCTTATGGGTCATGCCACTGGTCATGCAAACTTACTGCGAACAAGTTAATATCTAAAAGTTTTTGGTAGTTTTGGATGCTGATGATATGTTCAGCACAACTCCTAAACTGTGTTAGCTACTTGTAGTGCAGGGCATGAATTTTAATATTTGACAGTAATGAAGAATGATAGATTGCCATTACTCAACTCGGCAGCTGGCGTGTTCATTAATCTTCACTCGGACCTCTCCGCACTCTCACCAGACACATCAGTATATTCTGGCATTGGGGATGAGGACACAAATTATTCAAGTGCCGTGGCTCTATTCCCACAAACAATTTATGCTCCCTTAGAAACGCAATATATTTGACAAGTTTGTGAGATCAGCTTTAAGCCCCACAGCGGCGTTGTAAAAAAAATCAAGAGTTATAATTAGTGGCATATCAATAATGTATAATGTTGTAATCCCTTCATAGGCTCGCCCGAGATTTCTGATGGTGGCAGTGGGGCAACTCGCCGACTCAGAACGGCGTACACTAATACTCAGCTGCTGGAGCTGGAGAAGGAGTTTCACTTCAACAAGTATCTGTGCCGGCCAAGGCGTGTGGAAATCGCCGCTCTGCTAGACCTCACTGAACGACAAGTCAAAGTTTGGTTTCAAAACCGGAGAATGAAACACAAACGGCAAACGCAGTGCAAAGAGAATCATCACGGCGATGGAAAACCACCGAGCCTGGAGGAGGCAGGCGGACGGGGTGATGGGAAATCTTTTTTCGAACAAGTGGCAAACAATGTATCAGGGGCGCTTTTGGAAAGAGAGGGTTATCCATTTCAGCAGAATACCTTAACTTCTCAACAGTCACAGAATGGACACAATAGTGATTCCCAAAGCGCAACTGTCTCGCCTTTAGGTAGCAATGACAAACATCTGAAACATTTTCCCAACCCGTCACCCACTGTTCCTATCTGCACCACAACAATGGCCCCGGATTGTGCATCTGCTCAGAACAATGGCAGTCCCTCGGCCCTGGACGTCTCTTTACAGGACTTCAACGTTTTCTCAAACGATTCCTGCTTACACCTCTCAGATGCCGTGTCTCCAAGTTTGTCAGAATCTGTAGACAGCCCCATTGGTTTAACTACGGAGGCCTTTGATTTCTTCTCTGAGACGCTTACAACAATCGACCTGCAACACTTGAGCTACTAACTCTAACTGAAGTTTCATTATAGGGACGTCAATATCTTTCTCACATTAATGGTCTGTGTGTTTAATTGTGACTTTAAAAATAGGCCTAGACCATTAATCAATGAGGTAAGTTTTTCAATAATCAAATTATCCTTTCTGTTTACAGAGAAAATATGGCAGGAAAAAAGTGATATTTTTCACGTTTTATTTTTGTATCGCTCGACGGCAAAGCGCCATATTTTCATAGAATAAATTTGTACTTGTTATTGAAAGTATGAATGAGTGTTGTTAATTTCTTTGATGTACGGATAAAGAAATAGCCAACAGTTCTGCAACCAATCATGGTAAAATTTAAAGTGTATATTTTTACATTAAACTACTTTTGCGGATTATAATATTTGTGTGCTTTCGTCTGCTATAAGAGGTTTAATTTTTTAGTTAATTTAAAGAAAAATATTTGTACAATATATACGTAATTTAACTAAATGTGTATTCGTAGCCGCTTATAAAAACTTATTTTTGTTGTCTTACGCAGTTGGTAATTGCGTGTTAACGTTTCTTTTCATAATCTTTGTTAATTTCCCTGTCGCTTAGTTGACGTTAAATTTAGACTTTAACTCTATAAAACTAACCCAAAAAGTGAAGTTTTTGCACTTCCAAAATTTGTAGACTAAAACAAAATAGCTCAAGAAGGTGATTGATGTTATTGATGCTGCGTACACAAATAAGCACCTTACTGTATCTGACGACATAGGGAGTCTCCTGGCCAAGAGCTGTAACATTTTGGAGTTCAGCAATTAAATTTTATTGCCTATTAAACCTTCGACAGGGGGGTTGGTGTTGAGGCAGCACTCCACGTAATTCAATCCGCCGCTGTGAATGAGAACGCATTTCAGCAGTCAAACCACATTTTTAAAGTAATTTTTAAGTTTATTTAAGTTATTATAATTATTTTTTAATCGACAAAGTATAGGCAGAATTTAGATGTGATGGAAGTAGCCTGGCTAGGTCCCAAAAAAGTAGGTAACGGCTCATAAAAGTATTATCAAAAAAGTAGTTTTATCAACAGGCAGTGCTGCCAGGAATAATAACATACCATAGGGCAAACTAAGATTTGTCTACTCCTGATTTATTGATTTATATGTACATTTTTAATTTTAAAAAAGTTTACCGCTTAAATAAATAAGATAATAAATCTTTCTCGATTGCATTGGCCCTGCTATCTGAATACAGGCCTATGTGTCCTCTTGACTGATTCGATTGTTATCCGCTTGCTGTTGAAGAGCTAAAATAAGTCATTCAGAATCGTTATCGACAAGCCAGGATCTTGAAAAACCGTTTTCGCAATTTACACAACAAAAATACTGTCAACCCCTGTTCTTATTAACACACCATGATAAGTTTTTGTATGCACTTTACATAGACTAATAACAATTATAAACGCCAAACAATATGAATTGTTTCACAATTATTAGTTCATCCGTGCACGAGTAAATTAATTATGGTGTCTCGAGTCGTTTTATAGGCCTATACTCGACTAAGTTCTCTGTATAGGAAATTTATTTAGTATGAAATGAAATTAGAAGTCCCATGAGAAAAGTGTTTATTGAAATCGAGCTAGGATAATTTCCATACTTCTGACGCCACGTTGCAGTCGCTGCGCAAGTGTTGAAATGAAAATGAGGCCTACCAGCTATGAGCTAACACCGCACAGAAGCATTTATTAGATAGGCTATATTGTTCCAAGTATGCTATTAAAGGCTATTAGGTCTGGCTAATCAATGTTTACGCCTACAGTTTAGAAAGAAACAATGACCGTTAGACAAACTACTATTGGAATATTATATATTTAATTGTGATCTGATTCGGAAATTATAAAATACGTTTTTTAAACTATCCAAGAATTAAGTTTGTTTAAAATAAATCAAGATTGTTCTCTTTTTATCACAGTCATTCTAGATCTTTAAATCATGCACAAAATATGTGTTTATAAACACCACTTTATCGCATTCCACAAAACAAAGATCTAAATTGTTTCGAGCTCCACGGGCTTAGCGCCAAATCGAGCCTGAACAAATAGTTTGACTGACGTCCTTTGACGACACCAAACACGTGATCGGCATTCTTTAACCAGGTTAAAGACTAGCGAAATGGAACAGAGAAGGGATGCATTTAGCTCAAAAAACAGAATTGTATTATGAAATAGTATCTGTTTGAGAATTATTTTTATAATTCTTTATCCATTGCAGATACTGCTACACAAACATAATCTATTCTCTTCATAAAACAGCATTCCACTATTCTTAAATGTATAAATTAAAGTTTTTGATTTGTATGTCAGCCGTCTCTCCAATTGCATTACAGTACCTCAGATTCCCTGCTGAGATTGGAAAATACAATTCTGGAAAAATGAAATCTGCCTTTACATAGTGTTTATGCATCAAAGTAAGTCACATATGCTAATTTAAGTGCCCATAAGATATATGCTGCAAGAAGGTTTTAAATATACAGTTACTAAGTCATTAAATATTGTCATTTAGTTGGAGTCACTTCACTTCTAAGAGAGCCAAACTGAACATTATCTGGGACTTAATCCAAATTGAACAGTTTTGTATGCATAAAATGTACAAGTAGTTTGAGGCTTCAGCAACAATGCTATTAGTGTTTAGGTTTATAGCTTTGGTTAGGAAGGATGATACAATTTTGGTCAGCCCAGTTTCCCATGGACAATTAACAATCTCTGCAAAGTACAATTTCTGTCTTAATAACTAGATTTTGCCTAAACTGAAAACCCCCATACTGCTAGTCTATAACTGAGACTGTAATGTCTGTGTAGGCATTTAAAGTCAGTGCAGTCAGCCTTCAACTAGTTACCATGGAAACCTTGCATTTAATCTTGGTGGTCCCTTTTGTTATTCCTATGCAGGTGGGTTTCAAGCAGATATTTTAAGGGTGTAGTAAGATTACAGCAGAATAACCAAAATAAACAGATAAACAGCAACACACACAAAAATATCTACCCCACCAAAAAAATTAATAAAAAAAAATAATAATAATAACAACAACAATAAAAAAAAAATCTATATATAAAAATTGTGCATTGTATTTTATAATGAAAAAAAAACTTAAAGGCATTGTCAATCTATCAGCAATCAACACATTAGCAGATATTTGGAACAAAAATATCCAATGGTGTTTTTGGATTTTTACTGGATGAAGAAAAACAGTTAATACCTCTTTATGGCGTTTTGCATTAGAAACACTGATAAAATGGCATAATGGTAGATAAATGATGACAGACTGTTACATTTTAAGTAAAAACATCCCTTTAAGGGATCTTAAACAGAGGCCAACCACAGCAACACCACAGAATACAAATGAACAAATTAGTCCTATGAAGCATGATATTATCTCATAGATCATGTTTATAGAATTCCTGAAGTATGCAATTATTCTTCTTCGGGTTGCACTTACGTGGTCTGCTTCTCAAACATCTCTTTACATCTAGCATAAGTGTTTATTCTCCTGAGGCTGCAATGAGGCCAAAGTGTGGACTGCTGAATCAAAAGACTAACAGAGGTTACTGCTCCCAGTGGAACTGAGCAACTCAAAGCGTCAAGAAAAGCTTCATGAATAAATTTACAGTAATTAATAACCAAAGAATTAAATCTCTGCCAAAGTTTTACAAAGTTGCATATGTACAATTTTAAATATCACTTAAAATAATTTTGTTGTCATGAACCAAACATAATCTTAAGGTTTACTGCAATGCAGGGTGGGGGCAATCTTCTTTTTTACCAAAAAGGTGGTGAAAGTGGTGTCAAAAGACAGTTTAAATGTTTAAATGTGAGCTAATTCTAAGTCTTTTAAAAACAACACCTGAGCAGCCTAATCCCTTTGAGGCCGCAAGGCAAAGACACCATCTCATCCATCACAAAGTTGAACTTCACAGATACCTCTGTACCCTGCAGGCAGTGTGAATTACAGTGGCAAGAGCGCGCCCTCAGATGTCTTTCTTAATGTTCAGAGGCTGTTCAGGTGGTCTGATTCTGATATGACTTACCTGTCACATTGTCATAGTATTTGCTGGTGACCTCATTCATCTTAGGTGCACTTTCAGAGGTACTGTATGTCTTCACAAAACTTGAGTTCGGGCTCTTCCAATAAACTGGTCAATTCCGACCAGCTCTCTGAAACAACCCAAAACAAAGACAAATGTTATGAACACAAGTCAATAGACTGACAAGAACAAAGAAGAAAGAATCACAATGTGGCAGTCTGCGGTTTTCATTTTCACAATAATGACAGAGCAGGCAACCAAACAGTCATGTCAACTAAAAGAGACTAAAACATTGCTCTCCCCTAGAGAATACAACAAAGTGATCTCTTAAACCTTTATGATGATGAGAAGCAGAATGTCTAATTTGATAAAGATGATGATCATCGGTTATGATTATTCTTATGTAAAACTGCACAGAAACACTCACACATCACATCCCTCCTCTTTCTGGGTTGGTGCCAGAAGCTGAGACGTGTGAACTGAGGTGAGTCCAGATCAAACAAGCTCGGCCGAGGACCATGAGGTATGAAGCGGCTCCACTCTCCTTCAAAAGGTCAAAGGGCACTTCACCTCTCTTTCCCCCTCCACACCAGATGGATCTGTGGCCAGGTCAATTGAGGTTCAAGCAGTGCTCAAGCCAAGTGAACAAGCATGCAGGATGTCAGTGTTTAATCACAACCTATAGTTTCATAAGTTAAATTAGCCTTTTCATTTCAGAGTCATCCCTGTAGTTTTATTGTTTGCTTGTGTGAACATCATAAAGCATTTTAGTAAAATATAGATCATTAACATCAAATTATAATGTATTATAAGGTTAATTAATATCCATGTTCAAAATAACACCAAATATTACTAAAAATCTCAATCATTAAAACAATCCACTCACTATCATCCTTTATGAGAGGTACAGAGCAGGTGACAAAGGGCAGGTCTCCTGGCAGGGATCTGTTCTCCACAATCTCTGTGAAACAGCGGAGAAGCACAGAGCGAAAGCACAGAGCGAAAGCACAGAGCCAGATGGAGATGGACAGCTATGTGTTTCCTTGTGAAAGCTGTGCATCACCCCCATTCTTCACCTGTCTCCCTCCTCAGGATAAGTGGGCCCCACTCCAAACAGCAGGCCCATCTAAAAAGGGCTAAAATTTTCTCACTAAAATCTTAGTGCTCCAGCAGTGAAATTATATAATGCATACAATATATAAATCTTAACATTCAGGAGGTACTTACCGAAGTCATGAAATGTGGACTCTCACTTTGCAAAGAAAGCAATTAAGTTTCATGTTCTAGATTCAGATTAAATAAAATTGCATGCCATGCTTAATATTTAGCATCTGTTTTCTGGCCCCATGGCATGCTAATCAAACATCCAAGGTAACATCATTTGCGTCACAAAACCCAATGGATTATATAATAAATGCAAAATAGTTCTGTGTATAATGACAAACCAAGTACTTAAAACTGGACGAGGAAACGTCTCTTTCCCCAGTGCACTGTTTGAAGTGAGCACCCAAATGCGCCTGCTGGAGATAACGTGATAAATAACAGTGTCTAATTTGAATAGTGGTTTATTTAGTTTAGGCAGTCGTCTCTTCCGTATTTCAGTCGAGTCCACTTAACTTCCGCGTTTCGAAGGCTATCTTGCTGGGTCAAGCGATTTATCAGAATGCGGTCTGTACCGGAAGACTTCACGACACTCATTTCAGGTACTAAATATTTAGAGAAAACAATAATAGATAAAGAGAACGTTTGGTCTCGGGCGCTGTAAGAACATAATAGACGTTTGTTCCAAGACATTATGCCTAACGTTACATTTATTTCTGTTTCTAAAATGAGGAAGTTTGGTCTCCAGAAAGCCTCTGTATATTTCCCTGTTACGAAGTAGACTTATATCCTAAACACAAAATAGCACACGATTATTTCGTGCTGTCTTTTAAAATTGTGTTTTTAAAGTTTATTACTGTAATAAATAGGTTGCACTACATTGGAGTGCAAATAAAAAATGTATAGTTTTGAGTATCAAAGTTTCAGTATCTAACAGTTGCAGTATCTAACAGCTGAAAGATTTTAGGATGCTAGCGATGTTTTAGCAACGTAACAGTTAGCTGTTTTGCAACTGGTCACGCTAAATGATGCGGGTTGTTATGATTAGCCTTACCAGCTACCATGCCCCCCAAAGTAAGGTGACAGCAGGCTATAGTTGAGTCGTTTCTGGCCCATGACCAGTGTAAGTTGAATTTTCCAGCAGGGGCCAGTAAAGTAATCAAATTGTCATTAGATTGGAATAACGTTTGCTGAATGTTCCTTAAGCTCATCTGTTTTCCTAAACCTCATTTGAGGAGCTCTGAAGGTGCTAAATGACAAGAGGGAAGGTTTACAAAACAGTGTTTATGTTTAGATCTGGAAACATTCTTGACGGATGTCCTTAAAGGAGAAAATTTAAGCAAGAAAGCAAAAGAGAAAAAGGATGCCTTCATCAAGCGTATTAAAGATGTGAAAACAAGGTACGGCAATATATTACCTGAACATGTTTGTGACAACATGCTGATAAAGTATTCAACTCATCCAAATTATTTCTGTTTCAGCTACGCTCAGGAATTTAAGGACAGACGTAAGTTTTGATGTGCTTCAATGTTTGTGTATGTGCGTGTGTCGGGGGAGGGGCTAAACTACAAGCATGCGGTGAACTGCCACTACTCAGTACTGAGTACTTCCCTACTAGAGGATACAGCCTTCTTAAAGTCTGTCGTGACTAGTGATACACGACACAGTTAGCATTTATAGCATTTTACATTATTATTTCTTTATTGATGGTGCTTATAAAATATATTTAAAAAAAGCACATAAGATTTGCCAAATATATATATTTTTTGTCTTCTTACAGCGACTTTACTATTTGAAATGCTTTAGCTTGGTTTAGAAAATGTTGTCAAGCAAAAACATTGCAATTTACAGCTGCACTATTACCCACAGACCCGGAAGTTTTGTTGTTCCTCTTATGTTATTTATTTATTTATTTATTTATTTATTTATTTATTTATTTATTTCAGTCAGTCATATCTACATTTCAAACTGAATACAGAATCTCAAAATAGAGGCTTGTTAATATAACATTTTAACAGTACAAAAAATATACATGCCAGGGGGTAGGTATAAATCAAATACCAATATACAGAATGTGCATATGTAATAATCAAGTAAATACATTGTAGAATTCACAAAGTTAAAATTTGGTTTCTTATTAGTAAATTTACATTTATAAATGTAAATTTTTGTTAGAAAATTAAGTAAATTAATTCAATAAAAGCAGTTTTCCACTTGATTACGGTACATAGTAAAGCCAAAAAGTGCATTTTCTCACAACAACAACAACAACAACAACAAAAGAGTTTAGAACACAGAAAATTGTTATTATTATTTTTTTGCACCCACTTCATAGATTGACTGAGTATGCACAATGGTAAAATAAGTGTAAATCAGCCTCCTCATATTCATTACAAAGATACAATTCACATCAATTCCATTTTTAAATTTTTGTAAAAAATGTTTTGCTGGATAAAATCTAAGAGGAAGCTTATAGGATATTTCTTTAATTTAATTTTAACATGATATTTCTGTGGTAACAGCCACACTTTTTCCAGCAAATCAATTGACCCTTTAATAAAGTAATGATTACTCTTTGGAAAAGGGTGCAAATAGCTCTACTCTTGGTATTTATTGTAAAACAAATGTTGCCAACATAAGATTTAGTAATATCAAAAGGCAATGCATCAGAAACATGGTCTTGATTAATACCTCTAAATAACATATTGAGACCTGAAGGAATTGAACTAATAACAGTTGAAAACTGTTGTTGGGTAATTGAGATTTTGTAATTGTTCCTCTTATGTTGTTCCTCTTAATATCATTATGATAGAAACATGTGCAATTCTTGTTTTGCCATCATGCTTTTGAATGTTTTTCAGTTAATCAGGGATTTTTTTTATTATGTAACCCAAATAGAATGTTACTGTATCCCTATTCCAAATCTATGCACATAATATCGTATCTAGATAGCATGACTACAGTACCACCCAAAGCAGTATGCAAAGGCATTCTCTCTAGCTAACACAAATAGAATAAGAAGATATTTAGATACCTCTGAGGTCTAGATCTTTAAAATATGTTTTTAGTTATGCAAATGTTAATGAAAAATTCAATATTTCTACTATAAAACATTATGGAAACAGTTATTTTGAATGTGTTGAAAACACTGAAACAATCATTGTGTCTATCACTTGTGAGAATACTGATTAAGATTCTTTTGCAGGAGATGAAGAGTTTCCGGAGCCTGATGAAGCTGACACCAATGATGGTGGATCGCTGCACTCAGAGCAGACTGATAGAGATGATGAAAACGCATACGACGGTAAGTGGACAATTGTGGGATTTATTGCAGTATTAAAAGTGTTACAAGACAAAAGGATTATGTCTAGTCATGTCTACAGTACTAACCGAAAGCTGCTTAGAAAGGAATATTATGTGACAGAGCTACTGTAAATAGCTTTTGTATTGTTTACAGAAAAGGATTGCAAAAATGCTACAGTATAAATGTAATTAGGTAACTGTCAGTTGCTTTGTAAATGGGAAAAATTAAAGGTTTTAACATCAATTGGTATGGAGTTTAACTAAGCTTAACAAAGCGTGGTCATGTGACTCCACATGCGGTAATTTGATCGATTATAGGTTCTAAATGTCGTTTTAATTACTTTTTGAATAATTGCCCAGCCATATTTATAGATACAGTTGAAGTCAATTTTTTTTCTTTTTTAAATATTTCCTAAATGATGTTTAACAGAGTAAAGAAATTTTCACAGTCTAAAAATATTTTTTTCTTCTGGAGAAAGTCTTATTTGTTTTATTTCAGCTAGAATAAAAGCAGTTTTAAAATTATTTAAAAAACATTTTAAGGTCAAAACTATTAGCCCCTTTAAGCTATATTTTTTCGATTAGTCTACAGAACAAACGATTATTATACAATAACTTTCTGAGTTACCCTAATCTGCCTAATTAACCTTATTAACCTAGTTAAGCCTGAATAGTAGTTTCTTAAAAAACATCTAGTAAAATAATATTTACTGTCATCATGGCAAAGATGAAATAAATCAGTTATTAGAAATGAGTTATTAAAACTATTATGTTTAGAATTGTGCTGAAAAAAATCTCACCGTTAAACAGAAATTTTGGGGGATAGAGGGGCTAATAAATCAGGGAGGCTAATAACTCTGACTTCAGCTGTATATATTTTTAATATTAATATACAATACTTCACATAATTGTTTTTGTACATTAATGTAAATGTAATTTTGTTATTTTTAAGCTTCTTAAACCTTATTGTTTTTTTTTTTGATGCAATGTAAATATATAAATATTGTCCATATTGATTTTTGTACTTTTGTTTGTTTGTCTTTTTTTCTGCATGACCTCTTATTGGGTCTGAAATATGGGCAAAATATTTTTATGTTGTTTTTTTAATTTTTACTACATAATTTGCTATATATTCAATCTAAGTTTAAAGTCATATTTTCTTCTGTGTTAATAATGTGTTTAAAACATTTTTATTCAGTTCTCTTCTGGAAGTCAAAAGAATTGAAAGTTTACAGCTCTGGGTATTATAAAAGAATCACACAGTTTGATTTCCACATTATTCTATGTATGAAATCCACATAAATTAAGAAACAAAAAAGCATATCTCTCTCCAGGTATGAATAAATCACTTATCATCGTTTCGCCAGCCTCAGCTGTCATAACACAGTATTTTTGTGGCAGTCCTTTGTCATGTCCTGTCTAGGATTTTTTAGTAGTGGTAGAAAAACACAAAAGCTAAACGAGGTGCTTGAAAGACTGATGTAACCCAGCAACAGGCTCAGGAACGGTTTGAAGGCACAGACGTCAAGGGTTTAGCTTTCTTTTGTCTTTGAGCAAATGGTTTATGGTCTGCATCTCAGACAAAGCCGCCCACAGCCAATGTCATTTCAGG